TTAATGCAAGGCATACAATTTAGATTTTTCTTTTTCTTTTTAAACTTTTTTCCCCAATTTAGGTATTTAACATGCCAAATAATTGTTTGGCTGCAGTGTTTAAGGGCTTCAGGGATGTGAATGCTGGAGTTCCTACTTTGCACGCGTGAGCCCTCAAGTTTGATCTTGGCACCACTCCTCATGCTGAGTGAGATCCAGACAGCTTTTCTATTTGACATCTCTGGTGCCACAACAAAGTGTTGGGCCCCAGAAAGCTCTGTACCCAAGTGGGTGGGCACTGCAACCCCAGTGTGTGTGACGGAGGCAGAGTGCGCCTTCGTCAAACACTGCAGCCCAAGCAGTACCTATACCGGCACCAGAAACCACAACATTGACAGTAAACGGAAGGGGAGAGGAAAATAAAAATAGACTGCATTATAGTTCCTTTAAAAAATGAAATACTGAATGTAGCCACCAGAGCAAGGGAAAATTTTCATATAACAAAAATAGTAAAGGGAAATATAAAAAAACTCAATCCAAAAAAGTGTATATAGAAAAAAATCATAGTATTTGAATAGCATATCTAACAAACCATAGTTACTGGAATGTACAATATATTGTACTTAAAAGCCTAAATATATTCAGTCTTTCAAAGACATATAGAAAAAAAGAACATGTGTTACACTATTAATCTAGCCTGAACACATTTGAAATTTTATTCTTAGTGTACCACATCCTCTGATATGTTGTATTTGAGTGAATTAATAATAAAATGATAACTAAAAAAACTATATGTTTAGAAGTATAGCCTAAAAATTCTAGTTTGTTATCAAAGAAATAATAATTATTTCATGCTAAATGATAACTAAAGCTGCTTCTTGTCAAAACTCATGGGACCCAGCAATATGGAGGTAGGGGTAGGGAGTTGGGGAAACCAAATTTCATCAGTAACAAGGAAATGCAAGTCAAACTCACAGCAGTTTACATTTCCCCACAACCGGGTAGGAAATGTAAGACTCATAACGTCCATGTTGGTAACTGTGGGGTAATTGAGACTCTGCTGCTGGAAATATTAAATTGACATACTCACTTCAGAAAACTGGCTTTCCCTGATAAAGTTGAATGAGTGCAGTTTCTGTAACCCAGTATTTCCACTGCTAGATATATAATCTCAACTCTCTGCATATGTGTTACAAGAATATCTATGTCTATATCTATATATCTATATCTATATATATGATGGAATGTTATCTAGCTATAGAAAGAAGTACAAGGCTGGAGAGATAGTACAGAAGGTAAGGCACTTACCTTGCATTCAGCAAACTGCAGTTCAATCCTTGGTGCCATATATGGTTCCCTGAGTAGCACAATAGTTCAATTCTGAGCATAGCACAGAAATAGCCTCTGAGCACCAGAGTGTGGCCCAAAACTTAAAAATCCCAAACAAAAAACAATTCAGTGCCATCTGTAGACTGGGATTAAATTCTGATTCCAATCAACCAACTCTTACAATTGTATTTGTGCTGCAGAGATAGTACAGGGGTTAGAGCTCTTGCCTTGCATGCTGCAGACCCCACTTTGATCCCCAAAACTGCACCTGGTCCCCTGAGCACCACCAAGGGTCACTCCTCCACATAGAGTCAGGATTAGTCCCTAAACACTGCTGGCTGTGACCTCACCTGCCTCCCCTCAAAAGGGAAGCAAACCAGGACAAGATACGAGCTGAGTGAACCATGAAGACAGTGTGATAAGTGAAAGAAGACAGATACAAAAGGGATTGCATGGTACATGGTTTCTTTTATATGATGGGTCCAGGATAGGCAAAGTCAGAGGGACAGAAAACTGAGTTGTGCGCACCAGGAGATGGGAAGGTGGGGAAATGAGTGATTACTTAATGGGCACCTGGCATTACTGAGGTGATGAAAAGGCTTTTACACAACAGCGAAATTGCTCAATGTAGTGAATACATTAAATGCCACTGAACAATTAGCCCTCAAAATGGCTAATTATACATTAAGTAAAATTTTCCTCAAAAACTGTATTAAAACCAATTTTGTTATATTGGTGAAGATATACATGTTTGAACTTGAGTTGTGGAGACAGTAGATGGCAATATGACAGCACTGTCAAAATGATAAATACCATACTTTTGAATCAGCATTTCCCTTTCTAGATTGTTGCGCCTCAGAGTGCTTTGTATTCAGGGTTGCCTGGGAGCTTCCACTACAGTCCTCCACTCTACCAACTGAGCTGGAGCGATAGCACATCGGGTAGGGCGTTTGCCTTGCACACGGCTGACCCGGGTTTGATTCCTTCGTCCCTCTGGGAGAGCCCGCATAGCAGAGCCTGGGAAGCTCCCCGTGGCGTGTTCGATATGCCAAAAACAGTAACAACAAGTCTCATAATGGAGACGTTACTGGTGCCCGCTTGAGCAAATTGATGAACAATGGGAGGACAGTGCTACAGTGCTATGTATTCAGGGTTGAGGGATGTGATTCAGTGGCAAAGTGTATGCCTGGTGTGCATATCTGGGTTGGGTGTCTGATGCAGAATATAAAGGGGAAAAAAGGAAGAGAGGAAGTGAGGAAGTGAAGCTGGGGAGATAGATAGGGCTGGAGCACAGACTTTGCATGTAGGAGCCCCAGATTTAGTCCCTAACCATGCCAGGAGTAACCCTCAAGCAGAGGCCAGGGCATATCCTCCCCCCAAAATATATATTAGGGTTATTTATTGCTGCAGGCTAATAAATTATGGATGGACTAGTATAAGCTGCTCAAAAGATCCAGGAATAGTTTTATTAAAGCTACTTTTATTAAAAGATTTCCAGATTATATGATGTGAAACGGTATTAAATGCAGAGTGTTATAAGGTATGAAATTACTTGTGTAGAAAGGGCAAAAACCTGTTTTTTTGTTTTTATATGCATAGTTTTTTTTAAATAGGGAATATAATAAGATTGGTTTGCAAGTAGATGGAGCTTGAATGTGTTGAGGGAAAGGTTTTGTCTGTGTGTTTGTTTTGTGTTTGATACTTGGTATCAAACCCACAGCCTCACCTGTGCAAAGCAATTGCGCTACCATGAGCTGTGTCCACAGCCCTGAGATGGAAGAATTTTTGCTGTATGCCTGTGTCTTTAGTTTTATATATGTCTGTTTGCATCATATATCCCATATTATATATAGTTTAATATTGACAAAAGCTTCTGAGAGTATCTTGCCCTCATGGCAAAGCCTGGCAAGCTACCCGTGATGTATTCGATATGCCAAACACAGTAACAACAAGTCTCACAATTTTTTGTGAGATGTTACTGGTGCCCGCTCAAGCAATTAAAATTATGAAGGAACAGAAAACAATGAATTATTTATAACTATTTCATAAGGTTTACCAATTGCAGCTTTAAGCACTATCAATAAGTATTCTTCACTAATATTTATTATGTTCACTTTATGGTTATGATGTTTGTGACTTTGTGACAGCAAAGTTATACTTTGGAGAATTAGGATAATACTTTTTACATCTTTGTATACATACCTATCAGGTCCATTCCAGCCTTTTCACATGAACTTAATTCTATTTATTAACCACTGAACTGCACTATCCTCCCGTTGTTCATCAATTTGCTTGAGCGGGCCCAGTAACGTCTCCACTGTGAGACTTGTTACTGTGTTTGGCATATCGAATACGTCACGGGTAGCTTGCCAGGCTTTGCCGTGCGGGCGAGATACTCTCGGTAGCTTGCCGGGCTCTCCGAGAGGGCGGAGGAATCAAACTGGGCTCAGCAGGTCTGGCAAGGCAAATGCCCTACCGCTGTGCTATTGCTCCAGCCCTTATGAACAACATAATACTATTTTTGTATTACAATAAACTTTTGTTTGGTTTGGGTTTTGTGTTTGTGGGCCATACCTAGTGATGCAGGGGACCTGATGGGGTACTGGACTAAACTTGGGTCAGCGATGTGCTGTGCGAGGCCAGCTCCCTGACCACTGTACTATCACTTCAGGCCCATCTGATTTGCACTTTTTAAGTTCTGTATTGTTTCATTTGCTTGTCAAAACAACCCTCAGACGTAGGCTGTCAATTGCCTGTAACTTTTATATGATTTCAAATTAGAATGTATACTTGCACCTAAATATTTGGACTCAAAGTAATTTGTTTCATGCCTCTCAGTGATAATATAATGGCCTCATTGAATATGAGAGTAGAGGAGATGAGCTATTAGATGTTTTCTCTTCTGTGTGATGAATAATTGAATGAATGGACACATTTTAGTAGCACAAGAGGATTCAGAAAGACACTTGATTTATGTCTTTTGGGTTCCCCTTTTCACAGAACACTGCTTCCAACCAAAAACTCTCCTTGTCTGATTAGGTCATGCTTATTATTAAACTATATTAGCATTAGACTATTAATAACTAGCTGCATTATAAATGGCAATGCCATTTTAATTAATAGCGTAGTTTTATAAGGCAGATTTTAAGCAGCCTAATGCATTTGTCAAATTCGTTTAGCTAAATTAATGAGAAGTTTTTACATTGACTCATACTCATGTTTCCTATTGTTACTTTGCTTCATCTGATTATTAAGTATTTCCTAGCACAATGCTTGGGCATTTATTTCTCAAAATTTAGTCTGATAATGCTGTCAAGGAGTGTTTTATGCAGTGTCTTTTAATGGTAACACTTATAGGCTTCGAGCTGAGGAAACAAAGCAGTTACAGAAATCCAGTGACCTAGAGTCACAGATTTAAAACATTTTCTCATCATTTTTGTTGTTGTTGCCTGGAAATAATGAGCCAGGGCTAATTGCAGTGCCCGAGTGAATGATGGAGTGAGTAAATGAAGGTGCTACCTTGAGTTGTCCAGCTTAAAAGCTTAAACCCTTAGACTGTGTACTAAACAAACCATTGCAATCTTCCATGTAGTAAAACATGTGAATCCTGGTCCATTTTCCTTCTTGTATTTGCATCGGATGTTCTTCTGTTTGGTTCCACCAGTGAGTCAACTCCATGTTCTTGCCCACAGGGTTGAGAACGCTTGCACCAAACTGGTCCAGGCTGCCCAGATGCTGCAGTCAGACCCTTACTCAGTGCCCGCGCGGGATTATCTCATTGATGGGTCAAGGGGAATCCTCTCTGGCACGTCAGACCTGCTCCTCACCTTCGACGAGGCTGAGGTAGGTTACCTGAGGCCCAGAAAACCTAACGGCAGTAATGCTGGAGGGTGGCAAATGATGATTGTGCAGGATGAGGATACACTGACTTGACATGACCATGTTTTATCCTTCCATAACTTGAATACTCTAAAATATGTTTTCAGGTGCGTAAAATTATTCGAGTTTGCAAAGGAATTTTGGAATATCTTACAGTGGCAGAGGTGGTGGAGACTATGGAAGATTTAGTTACTTACACGAAGAATCTTGGGCCAGGTGAGTCATAGCCAACTTTTCTAGTGAAACGTTTTATGGTTGTTTATGTTTGAGCACGGAGAGAGCGGCAGCACCTCTTGAAGAATGGTGTGTTGGCCTTTCGGGTACCTCTGCTCCCTGTACGGAACTCAGACTTTCATTATCACTGCAAGTCAGATCTGCTTTCCACAAATCCGGGCCCTGTCTGATGAATTAAATTAGGCACTGCAAATGTTGCTGGAGAATGTAGGGAATACTTCTCTGTTACTGTAATGCTTCAGGCCACCCTGGATCCTGACCCCTCCATCCCACATTATACAGCATTCCTTCATTGTCTGCCAGCTGGCCAGGCTCTTCCTGACCTCTTGGCTTGTTAATTATCCCGCCTACCATTATGGGTTCATGCCCAAGGCTGCAGGATACTGTCAGCCTAGAAGGAGAGAAGGCCACTGTGGCTAACCCTGTCTGAAAGATGCTTTAGATATCTGAGAACTGAATATTCAAACTGCGGCACAGATACTGCTTTCCATGGGTCTGGATATGTAATACCCACTGAAAGGTAATTAAAGTATGAAAAAGACCTCTCTGGGGCTGGGTGATAGATAGTACAGGAGGCACGACACTTGCCTTGCAGGCGGATCCAGCAGTCACAGCTCTGGTTCAATCCCTAGCACCACAATCCCTGAGCACTGCCAGGGGTCACTCCTGAGCACAGAGCCAGGAATGACGCTTGAGCACCACTGGGCATGATCAGAAACCACCCTTCTCCGTTAAGAAACAACTGAAGATAGAAGAGGCATATCCGATGTTTAAGTTGCGAGTATTAAAGATCATACGCCACCTTCTAAAATCCTTTTGCCTATGTGAAATTAGTTTTAATTTTCATTAAAACTCTGATGCAGCCATTCTGTAAACTGAGGACAACAAAAAATTTCTCTGCACCATCATTGAGGATTGCCAGGAAATAGTGTTAGCGCAGTCTTAACTATTTTCTTAACATCAGGGGAAATCTTGACTTCTTCAAGTGAAATTTTATGCAGCATTTCAGCATAAAAAAAACAAGTGAAAGGCTGTTGCTGAAGCAGCAGAAGCTCCCCCTTTCCAGCCCCCTTTGGTTCTTTGAGGATCTTAAGCTACTTAAGAAATCCTAACAGCAGTTTGAAAATCAAAGCTTTAGGGAATCAAATAACGCCTTTGAATAATAACCAAAGTAAACAAAAAGTGCTAGCAGGCTGATTCCAAAACACCAGATGCTTTCAAACTCTGTCATCACTGTCATTATTTTTATAATATTTCTATTTGTTTCTAATTTTAAAAGTAGTTCATGCTTATTTTGGGCAAATTGGAAAGTACAAAAAAATATAAAGATGAAAACAAAACACATTGTTGTAATTCTTAAGGCATTTCTCAGCCTGTGGATTCTCAGTCTAAAATGCCATTAGATTCTTTGATGGTCTGGATTCCGTGGCCAGATTTACAGCATAAAACCACGTGCAGGAAGACATCAATCTATTTCCCCCTTATTTATTTGGGAGTTTATTTTCTACAAAAATCCCTCCTTTTTTTTTTTTTATGTAGGAGTACTGCTATTTATTCAGCCACTGATTAGCTGATTGAATTGTGTATGAACTCCACCTTACTTTTTTTTTTCATTTTTTATAATTTTATTTATTGAATCACCGTGAGAGCAGTTACAAAGCTTTCAGGTCTAAGTCTTGGTCATACAATGAAACACCCGTACCTTCACCAGTGCCCATTCTCCACCCCCAAAAACCCCAATATACCCCCGTCCCACACCCTCCCCCTACCTGTGGGGGAGATGATTTCCACATTACTCTCTCTCTACTTTGATCACATTCAATATTTCGACACCAGACCCACCATTATTATTTGAGATTTTACCCCAACACTCAGATCTGCTGAAAAGGCAACAGTAGACAATTTGTGTTCTATTGCTGGTTATGAATAACATATGATGTCGCGTGGCTGCAGTAGGGCCATGTGATTTTAAAATTCTGAAATTTTAACACTTACATCTGGAGGGATTTCTGCCAAAAGCCACTGGGTTTCGAGATTTGCTCCTGAGTCTCTGGGATCATGGCCGTTGAGCAGCTTGATCAGGAGCCAGAGAGGCCATTCGTGGGCGATGACTTGGGGTCTCATTGGGGTGGGGAGGACAGGCCCGGCTCCACCCCCGTTCTGTGAGGCCCAACAAGTTTCATCACTGCAGGTCCAGACCTGATTGTCCAATGGCCTCTGGAGGATGACGGCCACCGAGCCGCCAAAGGGGAGCAGGCGGAGGGACAACACCCTTTCCCCCCTGGAGTGGCCCAGTGACAGTAACCTACTGCGGGGTCCGGACGCATTTCTGCCAAAAGCTGCTGGGTTTTGAGATTTGTTTCTGAGTCTCTGGGATCCTGGCCGTAAAGCAGCTTGATCAGGAGCCAGAGAGGCCGTTCATGGGTAATGACTTGGGGTCTCATTGGGGTGGGGAGGAGAGGCCCGGCTCCACCCCCATCCCGTGAGGCCCAACAAATTTCGTCACTGCGGGCCCAAGCCTGACTGTCCAGTGGCCTCTGGAGAATGGCGGCCACTGAGCCACCAGGGGGAAGCAGGTGGAGGGACAGCACCCTTTCCCCCCTGGGGTGGCCTGGCGACAGTAACCTACTGTGGGATCTGGACGCATTTCTGCCAAAAGCCGCTGGGTTTTGAAACCCTCCTTTTTTTTAAATGAAAAAATATTGAATATATGTTATTCATGTGAGAATTATATCATATTTTCATATTTTCATTTAATAAGCAAATGCTTGGTTTGTTTTTGGGCAGCACCTAATGGTGCCCAGAGCCTGAGCTGTGTGGGTTGACACCTGGCAAGGCTCAGGAGACCAGAAGGGGTGCTGAGGAGTGAACCCTAGTCGGCCACATGCAAATCAAGTGCACTGCCCCCTGTACTATTTCTTCAGTCCCCAATAAGCTACTATTAATGGAAAAAATAAATATGGTGGGTAGAGTGCTTGCCTGGCACCCAGCTAATGAGGATTCAATCCCCAGCATCCCATTTGGAGCCAGGAGTAATTCCTGAGCACAGAGCCAGGAGTTATCCCTGAGCATTACTGGTGTGTCCCCAAAACAAACAAACAAAAATCCAAAAAAGAATAAAATTGCGTTCAGTGAGAGCTGTCCTGAAAAACTCATGTCTTGAGTGCTTGAGCTCAGTGAAAGTGTCTGGTGTTTAAATAAGCGGGCAGTGGGTTTGAAAGTTCCCAGATGCTAATAGTTGATTTAGGCTGATTAAGTCCCACCTGTTTGTCTCCCTCTGAATTCTTCCTGTCGTGCTCCATGTGATCCAGGAATGACTAAGATGGCCAAAATGATCGACGAGAGGCAGCAGGAGCTGACACACCAGGAGCATCGAGTGATGCTGGTGAACTCAATGAACACCGTCAAAGAGTTACTGCCGGTTCTCATTTCAGGTATTTTCTCCCTGTTCTCTCCTCTCTTGTACTGAAAAGAAAAATGTAACATGTTCTAAACTCATTAAACTCAGCACCCATTGCCTTTTTCTCTTCAGTCACCTGTCCCGCAGCCTGAGTGAAAGTAGAAGCTGATAGGCTGGGCTTTCCATGAGGACTGCATCATTTTGAATGATGCTGCTCTCCTGCTTTTTGTTGTCCTTCTGGTTGCCTAATTCTGTTCTGTGGAAGTCCTAATCGATGCATTGTTTCTTGGAAGGTGGACTCTTGTCTCAAAATCCCAGTCTTGGGCTGGAGCGATATACAGTGAATATGGCGCTTGCATCTGACCTGGATTTTATAACCCCCAACCCCATCACATATGGTCCCCGAGGCTGTCAGGAGTCATCCCTGAGCACAAATCCAGGAATAAGGCATGAGGACAGCTGGGTGTGGCCCAAAAACAAAACAAAAAAATCCTGAATGTCTGTATTTTCTGTTTTGGAACCACGCCTGGCAATGCTCAGGGGTTACTCCTCGCTCTGCACTCAGAAATTACTCCTGTGGTGCTTAGGGGACCCTATGGGATGCCAGAGATTGATCCTGGGTTGACCATGTACAAGGCAAGAGCCTACCCACTGTACTATCACTCTAGCCCCCAAGTCTTAAATGTCTTAATTTTGGCAACTTTATGTTATAGAAAAAAATAATTTGGAGTTGGAATGGAGACAGAGTACTCTATGTTAAAATTCAGTGTTGTGTTTTCAGTTTTTTCCTAAAAGATGTTTAACTGTTCTTTACATTCTTGGGCTGGTGATCTTTCCAACCTGGGACAACCTTCTGCCTTGGCATAGCCCAGAAATGTAAGCACGGTGCCTCTAAAGAGTGCTGTATCTTTTGAGTATCTCTGTGCCCATGCCTTCATCCCAGACAAATTACCCTGGTCAAGTGTGGGTTGCTTGGTTTAATGCTAAGAGAGCACCTTTTAAAATTTTGAGGAACTGTGTCACTGAGACTCCACTACTGCGTTCGTGTATCTATGCAGTAACTGCAAAAGGAGATGTAATTGCAAGAGTTAGAAAGCCCTTCCAGGAGACCAGAGCGATAGTACAGTGAGTAGAGCATTTGCCTTGCATGTGGCTGACCCGGGTTTGATCCCCGCATCCCATATGGTCCCCCAAGCACCACCAGGAATAATTCCTGAGTGGGAGTAATTCCTGAGTGTAACCTCTGAGCTTCGCTGGGTGTAATCCCCTCTCCCCCCCCCCAAGAAAAAAGCAAGAAAAAAAAAAGAAAGCCCTTCCATGAACTTGAAAAGGAAAATGTTTTGTAGAGTTTTCTAATCTCCATGGTATGTTTTGGGGGCAAACTGTTCTATGAGAGGAGGATTTCTTTCCAAGATGAGTAATGCATTTCTCTTGATTGATCTTTGTTTTCCATTTTCAGATTATTTTATGGGAAGGTACTCTCTTCCTCCAATGTTCCATATTCTAGTTTTTGTTCTTGTTTTTTGGGGCCACACCCAGCTGTATTTGGGACTCAGTCCCGGTAATCCCAGGGAACCATTTTGGGTGCTGGGGATCAGATCTGAGTCAGCTATGAGCAAAGCAAGTGCTGAACTCAATGCTGTCTCTCTGGCACAGATCCATATTATTTATTACTGTTGAGAGTTAGTCTCTGCTACATGTTGAAAGAAATGCTTGAAGATAAACTCGGCATTTTGGTATATACGTCACTAGGAGTAAAGATACTAGGGTGCTCCACATAGATTTCCTGTTTTCACCGTGTCCCATTAAGTGTTGGGACGAGGACAACTGTTTTAGAAGACTTTTTGATATTTTGTGATTGTAGATAACTGGTATATATATGTTAAAGTTGTTCCTTGATCATCTCGTGTTTGTATTTTGTACCTTGAGTTTTTTTCACAGTGAAGGTTGCTGATATTGGAGCTTTTCTGGCTAACTTTCAGTATTTGTCACACTCTTTTAAAGACCTTACAAGCCCCAAATGTGTTTAAAGTGTGAAACGTCTTGTGTGAAAATTGTTGTATGCAGGGGCCGGAGTGATAGGACAGTGGGTAGGGTGCTTGCATGTGGCAACCTGTGGTCAATCCCTGAGACCTCATATAGTTCCCTGAGCCTGCTAGCATGACCCTGAGTCCAGAGCCAGGACTAAGCCCTGAGCACCACCCAGGGGGGACCCCTCCACCCTCCAAAAATTGTTCTATGCAAGTGCAAATCCCAAACTAAATTTTTGATCATGTGTTTATTTTTATAGCTATGAAGATTTTTGTAACAACTAAAAACTCAAAAAACCAAGGGATAGAAGAAGCTTTGAAAAATCGCAATTTTACTGTAGAAAAGATGAGTACTGAAATCAATGAGATCATCCGGGTGTTGCAGCTCACATCTTGGGATGAAGATGCGTGGGCCAGCAAGGTAAGGGTTCCTGGTGGGGAAATTAGCACAGTCTCCCCTCTCCCTTCCCGGGCTTGACGGGCTCACGTTTTATCTTGTCATTGGGTGTAGCTTGAGATTACTCAGAGATTATGAAAGCAGTTTTTCCTTCCTTTTGTTTTTATGGGTTATGGGCTGTTCTTGCAAATCTCCTTTACTCCAAGGTAGAACAAATAAGCAGGCCTGTGGGGTGAATGTTAGTTGGAGGCTGCGCTAGAGTTTTTTCTCTGACTACAGTCTCATTGGAAGGGCTGGTGTGGAATTCTGGTGTGGTCTACCCTCCCTTGGGGGGCAGCCCAGCCTTTCATGTGGGCGGCTGTTGCTAAGTGACCAAGATACAGAGTATGCCTGCGACTGAATTTCATGGGCAAACTTTTCCTTTCCCGATCTTTGGCCCTAGACAAGTCTCCAGAGGAAAGTTCTCGGTGTGTTCCTTCATCATTCCATTTCCCTGAGGAAAGCTTCACTTAAAGATTAGTTTTCACATGGGCCAGTTAGTTTGAAGGGTCCCGTTACCTTCGGCCCAGAATTTCTCCATGGAATCGGAGAGGGCTGGGGGATCCGTCCCAGTACCCGGAGGTTGTTGCTGCTCTGATCGGCTTCTCACCCTCTAATGACTGAGGGGCTCAGAGACACGTGGGCTCATGCTCCCAGGAGTCTCCCAGGTACAGGCAATGGAGGGGAGACAGAGCACACACGGAGTCTCTGTGATCAGGCTTCCCCCCGGGTGACCAAAAACCTTTAGAACCTTCCGACAAGTCGGTACCCAGAATGGCCCTTTTTTGGGGGCTTATTTTTATTTATTTATTTATTTGTTTATTTTTGTATTTATTTATTGAATCACTGTGGGAAAAGTTACAAAGCTTTCATTCTTATCTGTCAGGACCTCTCTCAGGTAAGGTCAAAGCTGGCCCCTAGGCCACCAGCCGGAAAACACGCACAGTCAACGGGAGAAATCAGCTTATGTTAACTGTGAAGTTGTATACAAGCCCCAAAGCTCTTCAGCAAGTTCTAAGACTGTTTTAAATCTCTCTGTTAAAATAACTAAAGATCCTGCTATTTACTTTGGCGTTTGCATATTTGATTGCTTTTGCTTCCCTTGATGACTTCTTTTATGCATCTTTTTTTTGTTGTTGTTGTTCTTGTTGGTCTCTTTGTGTGTTTCATTCTTTTATCTCGCATTTAGAAGGTAAGCTTCCTCCTGCCCGCTAGTTTCTTTTCAGCTTTAAAAAAAGAGCCAAAGCATGTCCCTGAGGTTTTTCCTGTGCCGTGCTGTGCCTTCTGCTGTGTGCTGGTGGGATCGCATCCGAGTGTGACTGACCTGGGGTGTGGTGCGGGGCGGACTGTTGAGGTGTCTGGGTGGGAAGCAGAGGGGAGAGTCTGCTGGAATGTCAGGCTTTCTACGTTGGGGGCGGGGAGGCGCTTGTGTCTGTGTGAGCAGGTCCTTGTGAACAGTGTCAGGCTGATCTTATTCCAAGTGGCTTCATTGAGGGAGCAGGTTCTCCGTCCCCGGGCGAGCCCTGCCGTCCCCACGGGTCCCGCTCGCAGGAGAGGAAACTCGCAGCCGCAGCTCATGCCCTGTCTTTGCCTCTCCTGCCGGTTTCCTTTGCAGACTCTGGAGTTTTGCTTTTGGAGATACGTCCTTGAGGTTTTGAGCCGTAAGGAAAATGGGTAGGTTAGATTATTAAACGGGGGCCCCCTGCTTCACAGTCGCCCCAGCTTCAGCATCAGGAGGGACATGTGACGTAGCTGTGGTTTCTCCTGGCTTCCCCCAGCGGCTGCCATGGTGCTCCGTTGAGAAGCAGCCGTAGTTCTCTGTGACCTCAGGGTCCCCCGCCCTAGACACCTTCCTTATTTTCTCTCCTTGACTTCGAGAAGTTGAGAAATGAGAATACGGAGGGGTGTAGACATTGTTACTTTCGGGTTTCTCTGAGGGGCAAAGTGCCCACAATTTAGCAAACCCCTGTTATTGAGCTTAGTTTGGTGCAAGAGCCATTGAGAGCTGCAGCTTTAGGGAAAAAAAAGGGAGGGAAAGGATTGAGATTTTTTAAGACTCAAGAAGATATGAAAAAGGAAGTAGACCTGGTCCCCACTGTTTCCCATCCTATAGCTGTCTCAGTTTTATGCAGACGTAGAAGGAAGCAGATGTAGGAAGATGCAAGACAATCAGAATAAAAGAAAGTAAAGAAAATAAGTTCGGCCTGAAGAAACCCCAGACAGAACGTGTAAGGAGTGTACCTTTAAGCTGGCTTTTGCTTTTGTTGTACTTCTGTCTGGTTCAAACATCGAAGTGCTCGAAAGCCATGGAGCCAGTGAGTTTCACCGTCAGGCCATCCCCCCGCGCTCGCTCCCCTGATGGCGGAGAGCAGTGATTCTATTTATGGGTTATAAGCGTGCTCACAAAGAGTCCTTACCTGGAAAATGGAAATTGCTTCCTGGGGGTTAGTTTATTTTTCAGTCTAGTAGCATTGTTTACTTTCATAGCTCATCTGTAATGTATTGGACCTCAGTTCTGTCTGAATACTGGGTTCCCATTCTATTCAATATATGCGGTATCGTTCACCTTCTCTTGCTCCTACCAACTGAAACATTAACTTTGTCTTACCATACTTATTTCATGCTTCCCCATTGATGCAGTTTTCTCCTGGAAAAGTGGGGGAAGAAAGTAAGTGGAAAAAAATTCTTGGTAAAAGCGTGTCTTCCAAATAAATTAGGCTTTTTAAGAGGCAATACAAGGGCTGGAGAAACTGTATAGTGGGTAGGGTGCTTGCCTTGTACTTGGCCCACCTGGGTTCAATTCCTGGCATCCTGTATGGTCCCTGCGGGGGCACCCCGGGAATGATCCCTGAACTCAGGCCAGGTGAGCATTGCCAGGTGTGCTCCCCTGCCTCCCAAAAACCAAAAAAAAAAAAAAAAAAAAAAAAGAGGCAATGTCAGAACCAGTTGTCTTACCTTTTCTACCTACATTGAAATGGCAGGATTTTAAATGCTCAAAGTAGTTTGACTTAGACATATTTTATTTTATTTTTAAAGGCAAAGTGTTTCCCTTCTTGGGAGTGGGGGGGCCAAGAGGGATGGCTTATGAAAAGTACCTGCCTCACAAGCTGATATTGCCACATATGTTGAGTATGGTTCTGGGGTACAGCTGCATGGGATCCCCAGCGCTGAACCCAAGTTTGTTGCTTCTCTCGGATAACCACAACTGCAAACCCCAGGGAAGCACTGCAACTTAAAATATGTGAGCACTGCGGCCATGAGTGCAAGTCCTATGAGCACGTAGAAGCTGGTTGTGAGCAATCTGCCCAATCGAATGGTGCATGCCCTGCTGGGAGCAATTCCTGAGCTCAGGGCCAGGAGTAAGCCCTGAGCATCACATTTTGTTGTGGCGCAAAAACCAAGCCAAGGGGCTGGAGAGATAGCACAGCGGGTATGGCGTTTGCCTTGCACGTGGCCGACCCGGGTTTGATTCCCAGCATCCTATATGGTCCCCTGAGCACTGCCAGGAGTGATTCCTGAGTGCAGAGCTGAGCATCGCCAGGTGTGACCCAAAAAGCCAAAAAAAAAAAAAAAAACCAAGCCAAAAATTAAATTAAATTAAATTAAATTGGCCTTTCTCCTGGGACTCCATCATAAAATTAAAGAATTTTTTAAACACAGTTCTCTTTCGACCTTTCATAAATGGAGCAATCTATCTTTAGTTCTTTTTTTCCCTGCATGTGCATATTACTTTTATCTTGATGCATGTTGGAAATTAAGAGGAAGTTAAGTAAAAACGTTAGAGGAGCAGTTCACTACCGAGACTCTTTGCCCTTCTGAATGAAGGCACTCCAGAGACTGCACCTCGGAGCCACGAGACACTGTTGCTCTGAATCAGTTCCTATCCTGGGCCTTCCACCGTGCGCCTGGGCTGACCATGGGTCAGCACAGTGATGACCTCAGAGGCCTTGCCCAGGTCATGGACTGGGGCGTGCAGCCCTTTACTCCTTGCCTCTGTTTTGCAGACCATTGGGATTTTTGGAGTTCATTTTCATCTCAACCCTTTTGAAGGGCTGGAGAGAGAACTCAGTGGACTGAGCTCATGCTCTATTCTGTTCCAGGTCCCCAAACACTCCCGGGAGCACCCCAACACACCTAGCTCGTTTACCCTCCCCCCGCCCCCAGTCAGCATTTTAGAAAAGAAGTTTGTAAGTGAGTTTTTGAGGGGTGGGTGGCAGTGGGTGGGCCTCACCAGCCGTGTTCAGATCTTACGCTGGCGCTGCCCTCCAGGGATCACTCCTGGCTGCTCGGGGGACCGTGTGTGGTGCCGGATTCTGAACCCAGGTCAGCCGCGTGCAAGGCAAGTGCCTTACCCTCTGTGCTATCTCTCTGACCCTCGTGAGTTTTAATGGCCCTGTCTTTTATTTTAGCAGCTGAAAGTGTTTTATTTAGCGCTTTCATTTTAGTGATAGATTCATCTCTGGAGTTTGATGTAGATTATCAATGCAGGCATTCAGATTTTAACTCTCCCCTCTCCACCGTGGAAAGCCTCAGACAGAAATGGAATTTCTCTCACACCCAAGTGCTCTCTCAGTTGGCCCCTCTGAAATGCTCTTAGGAAGTACAGATTCTGAGCGCTGGGAAGCTATTCTTAGAGAAGAGGAGCTGATGGGTTAGAGCTGTGTCATGATCTCTCCTTGGTTAAATGGAGTTTGTAAGATCTTTTTTCACTGCTCACTCTATTCTTTCTAGAAACACCTTTGTTTAAACATTGATTTGGATGCCAGAGCAATAGTACTGTGGGCAGGACTCTTGCCTTGCACATGCTGACGTGGGTTCAATCCCCAGTACCCCATATGATCCCCCAACCTGAGCTACAGTAGGAGTGATTCCCTGAGCACAGAGACTGGAGTCAACCCTGAGCACTGTTGGGTGTAGCTCCAAATACCTTCCACCTACCCACCCTGCAAAAGACAAACAAAAAAATCCCACAGAAAAACCCAAACCCAAAACCCTTCCAAAAATAATTCATTGATTTGGGGTGGAAATGTGACTGGGAGTAGAATGTAGAATGAAGAGGGAAGAATGGGGAATGAAGTTGGTGAGAACAGTAAAGGATCTGTTCCCCTCCATAGCATTTTCAGGAACTGTGATTGCAGTGCTCAGTTGTTCAGCTGCAGTTCCTTCTCATGGTCTTTGAAGGAGCTCAGTGATTTTCAGAATCACTTAGTGTTCGTTGGGTATAAGTCTAACTATATTAAATTTCAGAAGTGTTTTCAGTTCCTGGGAAAGCATGCAAAAAAGTTCTTTAAGATTATCCTTGCACCTGGTGGTATGTGGGGGAGAGTTCCAAAGCAAAAGCATAAGCATTATGGGTTGTGTTTTTTTTTTTTTTTATTTGCTTGTTTTTCATTTAAAACCCAAGTTCTGTGGTCGCAGAGATCACAGTGGGGAGGGAACCAGCTCCTGCCAGCTGTCCCAACACTGCACGCCCATGTCTGGTCTTTCTTTCTTACACCTACTCTTTAAAAAACTATGAATAAAGGAGATTGGTGGAAATGTTTCTCTTTCCCTAATTTGAGATTTACAAAGATAATTTAGGAAGGCGTAGGCTTCCATTGCCTATTTATACATAGATTGTAGTCTGGATACTTACACTTACCTGAAAAGGTTTATCTAAAAGCTTTGTGCTGATACTACGATTATTTTTAATCTCTGTAAATATATCTCGTAATAGATTTCTATTTCTAGTTATTTGGTAAATGTGTTTGTATCACATTCAGTGTTAGCAAACTTCTTGTATCTGTCAATTCCATAATGAATCCTGCCTTTCCAAAATACAGGTGAAATTCTTAGGAGACCAAATTATCTATTCCTGCAGACATTTTTGTTTTTAATAGATAGGATATTAAAACGAATTGTGTCTACAGGTTGGAGCACAATACACGTGGCCAAACTGGGTTTGACCCTACCCATATGATCACGCAAGCCCACCAGAAGTGATCACTGAGCACAGAGCCAGGACTAAGCCTTGAGCCCCCAAAGCCAAAATAAAGTAAAATGTATTGTGTTTAAATGACTAGTGACCACAGCCCTATTTTAGAGAGAATGTGAGGGTGACCTTTTCAGTGACCTTTAGTTCCCTATTAATTAATGCAAAATCCATGCTATTGAAATCTTCAGTAATTTGTTGAAATTTTCATTAAAAAATGTTGCTTTATTCCAAATTTGTCATGATTCTATATAGGAGCAAATGATATAAAACTGCTTGATATTTAATCTTCCATTTAGGACTAAATTCCTTGTTTTTGGAGATCCAGGCACTTGCCTTTTTGTGACTGTTGAATTTTAATAGGGATAAAGAAATAGCAGTGATTTTTGATGACATTGAATACTGCAGAGCCAGTGAGGGCAGTAGAGAAGAGGCAGTCATTTAGGCTAATGACGGTTATGGGCTTGATTTCTGAGCATACTTACCATACTTTCAGTGGTTGTAACCAAAGCCAGAACTGACAAAGCAGAGATTTGCTGACTATTATGGAAGATTATTAGATTCTTTGCCAATTCTCTTTGGGTAAAAGAAAAAATATTCTTGAGTTTCATCGGTTATAAAATAATGAGGCTTGGTTTCAACATATCTGGGGTCAAATAGAGTTTCTAAGCCTGCTCCCCTGTTTCTGAATTTAATAAATTAAATTATATTAAATTTGAATTTCAATGAAGTAAGGAGGGGGAAACTGCCTAAGATAAAACTTAACATGCAGGAAATCCTCAATTAGGACAGGAAGTGATCAACATTATTTTTCTCACTGGTAGCCTTTATGCTAGAACAGACACTGGATTTTTTTTTTTAATTTCTTGCTTTCGTTTTGAAGGAAATGAAGGATTAGCAGTATAGCTCAAAGGATTTTGCACCTGCTTTGCATGTGGGGAACCCAGGTTTTATATCTGGAACCACGTGTCCCTGAGTACCGCTGGGACCCAAGCCCTGGGCAAGGGATAGTCCCCGAGTACCACCGGGGTTGTCCCCAAGCAAAAAACAAAACAAAAAATTATTCTTTTGAAACACAGCAAATGAGTTTGTTTGTTTGGGGGGAGGCGCACACCCAGCAGTATGCTGGGGTACTCCCTGCTTGGCGCTCAGACATCACTCCCAGCGGTGCGCAGGACATTGAGTCTGGGCCTTCTGCGCACCAAGATTCTCTCAGTCCAGTTAACTATCTCTCTGGCTCAGATGCTTTTCGGCGACCTCCCTCATAATTTCCAGAGTGGATGACGGAGAGAGTGAGGACCATGCTCCCAGTGTCTCAGTCATAGTTTATCTGGTTTGCAGCACTAGTTGGGTCCAGCAGTGCTGGGGTCACAAGGACCACGCCCCGTATGGTCAGCAGGCCATGATGTGCCGGGATGGAACCAGGGTCTTGCTCATGTAAACCACGCTCCTGCCCTTTGAGCCCTTGTTCCAAGTCTATTTAAGCTGAAAATACGTTAGAAAAATTATTGCTGGCAGACTTTTAAAATTAAGTATTTTTGTAGGGATGTAATTTCCCTTCAGTGCATGTTGTTCCTTGATGAGGACTTGTGGCTTATTTTTTATATCTGTATCTGGACAAAGTCTATAATTTGTGTTAGCTCTAAAGTTGCCTGAGGTCGTTTTTTAAAAATACATGAAATAGGGGTTGGAGTGATAGTTCCATGGGCAGGGCATTTGCCTTGCATGCAGCTGACCCAGATTCAATCCCTGGCTTCTATATGGGCCCTGAGCACTGCCAGGAGTGATCCCTTAGTGCAGAACCAGGGATCACCCCTGAGATTGCCGGGTGGATGATCCCAAAAGAAATCCCCCCCAAAATAAAGAAAAGTTTGTGTAAATTGGGGCCAGAGAGATAGTACGTCAGGTAAGGGTTTGCCTTGCATGCAGCCAGCTTGGGTTAAGTCCCTGGCATCCCGTATGTTTTCCGAGCACCACCAGGAGTGATTCCTGAGTGCAGAGCCAGAAGTAACCCCTGAGCATGCCAGCTGTGCCCCTCCTCTCCCTCCCCCTCCCCTCCCCGCAGTATTGATTTAGGCCTTGCTAATTTGCAGTTAGGCTGAACTTGATTTTCATGTACTTTTGAAGTCAAGGTTTTCTATACAGATGGATGTAGAGAAAGATGGATGAATAGATATTTAAATCATCTGAGAATCATAATACTTACAAATTCCCACTTTGGGGGCCGTAGTCATAGTATAGCAGGTAAGGCATTTGCCTTACGTGCAGCTGACCCGAATTTGATCCCCAGCATCCCATATGGTCCTCTGAGTACTGCCAGTAGTAATTCCTGAATTCAGAGCCAGGAACAACCCCTGAGCATTGCTGGGTGGGTAACCCAGAAACCACCCCCCCACCCCGCCCCATCCAAATGCCACTCTAAGTGGATTTCTAGATCCTCTTACAGGTACTACAGTCAGTCTAACTTGACAATAAAACTGCACTCCCTGCACCCCTTCCCCAAGTCTTCAGTTCATTTCTCTTTAGTTGCTGTGACTAAGAAGAGGGTGCTGTGTAGAGCCTTAGGTGCTCAGCTTCCTAAAGAGAGTTCTGTGCTTCGTAATTGTGCTCACTCCCAGCGCAGATCTGTGCTAAAGCTGGGGCTTGTTTAAAGTAAGTAGAGGGGCTCCTGGTGCCCCCGCGTGGAAGATTGGCAGTACAACGTCTGCAAAACACCTGCCTTGCTCAGCTGCTCGGCAGTAAATTGAGCCAAGTTTGGGATTTAGAACATTGTCTAGGATTTCAGAGGTTGCCTCTGCCTTAATGGACGGACTCTCTAGGAGTCTGTCCCCTGTGGCTAAAGGGGGTTAGGCTTTAAGGTATTAAACAGGAGCCCCAGTGTTGACACAGTTGTACATTCTAAACTCTAATTAGCTAAAAATAAATAAAAATAGAAAACACTGGATCTTGCAGAGTTAAAAAAAAAAGACTGTCAGTTTGTTGCTTGTGAAAATGGATCCAGGGGTATTTGTTAAGTTGTTTACTGCCTTTTTTTTAATATTTAAAAAACTACATATTTAAAAAATCAGTTTGTTGTTTCAGTCTTGGCTATTAACTGGGGGAATTTATCATGTATTTCCTGACTGCTGGCTGTAAATAAAAAATAGAGACCTACTTATTTTACCCCGCCTCTTCTTCCAGGTCGTGGGGGTGGGTAAGGGAACTGAGGAGTGCCCGGGAGAGCCAGGAAGCGCTCTTCTCATCTATTACGTTTTAGTAATTTAGTACATTGAACGTTTTTGTTCAACTAGTAATTTCGAGTTTTTCAGCTTAATTGTAGTTGAACATCATCCAGTGTATTTCAAAACAAGATGTAAAAGCGCTGTGATTTGTGGCACCACATGCTAATAAGGGCTTCCCGGAGCCGGGAGGGCTTTGCCAGAGCCGCCAGGGTGAATGGGCCTGATGGAAAGGCTGGGAATGAGGCATGTGACAACAGGGCTTCTTCCTGCTGGAAACACTAAACATCTCTTGGCTTGAGCAGTTCCCCCAGTGTCTGCAGCTTAGCAGTACGTAGGCCAGGGACCAGAATGGAATTCATGAAAGAGTTGCATGCAGAGGCTGCATTTGGACAGAAATAAGCATTATGGTGTGATGAGAACATTTTTAAGGCTGTTGTTGGAGGACTCTCTGAGCAATTGTATGTTAATGCTGTGACTTTAACTCAAAAATCTGAGTCTTTGCAAAGAAAATAATCCGGCACCTTTCTTTACAAGGACACTGAAGCCATGAAGAGAGCATTGGCCTCCATAGACTCCAAACTGAACCAGGCCAAAGGGTGGCTCCGTGACCCCGGCGCCTCCCCAGGTAACCCTCTCCTCCTCCCGATTAGACGATAGAGCTATCCCGTCGTGTCATGTTCCTGAGCTGATTCTGCTGCCTTTGGACACCTGGCCCCTTCTGGCAGTTCTGACTGACGGATGACTGACTGCTCCTTGAAAGGATGAAGAACAGGGTGAAGGATGAAGAACTGTCAGTTTTCGTCAGGAAGGCAGAGACTAAGCTGACTCGGGCGTACTTGGCCAACTTCTTGGTTCCCCTTTCCCTGAAAGTTAATCATTTTGAGTAAAAGCTAGTCTAGTTCCCGTTGGGCAGGTTGCCATTTCTAGCCACAGAGTACCTCATTAAGCAGATTACATGACAATGCCAGTAAGAATTAGAAAGCAAAGTGGACTTATAGAAGGCTAAGACCCAAATAGGTTATTGAGCTAAGGTTTATGGATTTTCTAACCTAATATTTATTCAGGTTTAGACTAATATTGGAATGAACGTGAAAAGCCTAAGGGGAGTTAGAGATGCTAAGTCCCATGAAATTGGGACTGTTGGAGCCTGTTTTCATCACCCATATTCATACCATGAGCTACTTATTATCTCCAGATGGCTCCAGTTCCGAGGGTGTTTCTTAACACTGTCTCTGGTTGTAAAGGGCACCGCCTGGCTGTTGGCTATCGGGTGTATTGTGTTCTATTATTCACTGTCATTGAAAATCACCCGTTCCTTCACGAAGGAAATGACCTGCAAAGCCTCTCTCTAAATAATTAAGATGTCAACAGTGTCGATATTGAATCTCTGTCTCTTTCAGGGGATGCTGGCGAGCAGGCCATCAGACAGATCTTAGATGAAGCTGGGAAAGTTGGTGAGCTCTGCGCAGGCAAAGAGCGCAGGGAGATCCTCGGAACTTGCAAAATGCTGGGGCAGATGACCGATCAAGTGGCTGACCTCCGAGCCAGGTAAAGTGCCTGTGATCTCCCCAAGCAGTGCGAGGTGACAGAGAGAGAGATGGGGCTCACTGCTGGAGTGAGTGGGCAAGCAAGGCTCTGCTCACTGTCCTCAGTTGTCCTCGGCGAACAGGCCACGCCGATTTCCCGGTCTGTTCTTTGTTTCAAGATTAACGCGCACTTGTCCTTCCTGTGCTGTGCTCGTAAAGGTGTAGATCTAAAGCTTAAATAGAAGTAGGGTACTTTAAGAAATCACTGGTCATAGGCTTCTGACAAGTCAGGGAAGCCGGGCAGATCTGTTATGAAGGATGGCTAGAGAGAAGCAGTGTCCAGCAGTGGAATGATTTCATCTCATGCACAGAAGTCAGTTAGGGCTGGAGAGATACTCAAGGGCTGAGCGCATGCTTGCATGGGGGAGGCTGGGTTGGATTCCTGCATGCACAGGTCTCCGCTGCAAGCAGACGCCCCCACCCACACCCACCTAGTCCTGCTGGTGGGGCCCTGAAATTTGAAAGCTAATCAGTTCCTCTAAGATGGTCATTGCTCAGAACTTTTGCATTCCTATTTTATTATTATTCATTTGGTTTCATAATTTTTTCTACCTGCCCAAATCTTGACTCTGAGAACTCCACCACTCCCCTCTCGTCTGAATATGATAGTAAGCTTCTGAGAAAACTCAGTACAGTGTAGGTCTATTTAGAACTCAGTGAATTAGTGAAATTCTGAAAGATTATTGTTTTTCTGGGCAAGGGTCTCTTTTAGAACAGATAGAAGAATTTAGGAATGATGAGATAGCTGTGTAGGTAGAGGTAGAGTTTAATTTTGCTTCCATAATGTCTTAATACATCTTGAGATAATTGGAATACCTGGAATTTCCATACAAACAGGCTCAGAAACACCTCTGACATGCCACATACCATTACATCTGTTCTACCATTGACATAATAGACTTGAGTGACCCCCCAACAACAACAACAATAAAAATTACTTTTGTGTGTGTTGGGGGGGGCACACCCTGTGTTCCCTACAGCTACTCTCATCTTTGTGTTCAAGGCATCACTGCTGGTGGTGCTCAGAGGACCAAGTGTTGCTAGGAATGGAACCCAGGGCCACTTGTAAGATAGTTGGTCCACCCTGAGTCACATCCCTGGTGTTCCTGTCCTCCCTGCCAAATACACTTCTTAAAGTAATGGTTCTTTTTTGAGGCGGATCATTGCGGGGGCCACACCCAGCGATGCTCAGGGCCTGTGCCTGGCTGTGTGCTCAGGAGGGACCCCTGGTGGTACTCAGGGGACTGTAGATGGTTCTGGGATTCAAACCAGATCTCACTTGGCAAGTACCCTGTCTCATGGGCTATCTCTGGCCCCTGAATTAGTGGTTCTTGACTTTTTTTGGTTTTTTTTTTTTTTGGCCTTAGTTCATTTTCTGTAACCTGATGAGCACTCTTAATCTCCCCTAAAAAGATCCATATAAACATGCGGTAGTGTGTATGATCTGCAGAATGTCATGGGCTGACCATGGCACTGGGTCTTCAGGTAAAGTGTTTCAAAGGGAAGAAGGACCAGCACAGACCAGTGCAATCCCACTGACCTTGCTGGGCCATTTGCTCTGGCTGCAAGGCGGTTTCGAAACTCTGCCGTGCGCATGACAAACTTTATAGAAAGAACAAGAAGAGGTTCTGTTCCCATTCAGACAAATGCTCTGCAGTTTGACAAGAATTTTGGCTCTCTTACCTTTTCACTGCTGGCTCCTTTGTCTGCAGCTTTCTCACAGTGTGGTAGACAGTTTTCACTTGGAATTTGCAAATACACAATTGTATGTGTTTAGAGAAAGATGAATTTGAGCAGGAGAATGAGGTCATTCCTGTATCGTGTTGGCCATTAATCTAGAGAGAGAAAAGGCCAAGGCAGTGACTAACGGCTGAAGGCCTACTTCCCACCCCCACTGTCACTGTCACTGTCATTGTCCTCCTGTTGTTCATCGATTTGCTCTAGTGGGCCCAGTAACGTCTCCATTGTGAGACTTGTTGTTACTGTGTTTGGCATATCAAATATGTCATGGGGAGCTTGCCAGGCTTTGCTGTGCAGGCGAGCTACTCTAAGTAGCTTGCTGGGCTCTCCGAGAGGGGCGGAGAAATTGAACCTGGGTCGGTCGGGTTGGTCACACGCAAGACAGATGACCTACCACTGTGCTATCGCTCCAGCCCTGAAGGCTGCAATATTTTTTCACAATGGAAGACTAGAAAGTTCTCTCCCTGTCACCTGTTCTTATATTCTGTCCAGGTACTTAATGTTTTAGTGGCTGAAACCAAGTCACCATTTTCACAACAATAGACTTCCAAACCGAGTATTTCTAGGCTGTCAAAAATATATCCCAATTCTTCTCATCATGTGACTCATTAAACTTCACTGTTGTGTGAAAAGTTATGGAGCTTGTAAATATTTTTACTTTTCACACTTAGACTTTTATGCCAAAATGTGTTCTCTTCCTGAGTTCTCGATTTGAAGGACTAGAGCAAATTTAGTTACAAAGAGTATGATTTCTAAAAGATTGTCATTCTCTTCTGTATAAAAGGGAGACCTCAGGAACAGGTGATAAGTTTGTGTTTTTTTGGGTGGGAGAGAGGCTGGTTTGAAGGCTGTAGCATTTGCTTTGCACTCATGAGACCAGAGTTCAATCCCCAGCGCTGCAGATGTGTCCCTGCCTCACCCCCAAATGTACCTAACTTTCACATGCTTGGATATAGAGTTTATTATCTCAAGTTTGATGAAGATAAAAAATAGAGATGAATTTTTAAAGGGCATAGATATAGGACAGGCATTTCCATACTACTTATTAGGAAAAGCAAAGTTTTGGGGTTCTAAAAATTCAAAGTTCTGATTTGGAAGATCAGCAATTCCATCTTCCAATCCATAAAGTTGATCAGACTTGATGGATTTTAAAAAATCCGAACTTGTGAAAATATGGCAAATTTGGAGACTGGGAGAGAGTACAGGAGGTAACACACTTGCCCTGCACACAGCTGACCCGAGTTCAATCCCCAGTGCTACATATAATCCTCTGAGTATTACCAGGAGAGATCCCTGAGCACAGAGCCAGGAGTCAGCCCTCAGCAGCACTGGTATGACCCCCATCCTGCAAATTTATTTGGCAAATATTTTTTGATTGTAGCTTGGAAGATCTCTTACAAAAGAAAAGTAAATTTTTATGAACTCACCATCATTAGTTTTGCAATAGTAGCATAGTATGGCAGTAATTAGCTGAATTTGTTCCTTAGGAACCTGAAGTGAAACAAAACTTTCTTATCACCATGTATTTTACCCCTCGGTTTTAACTGGGTCTGACACTTAAAGCTGATTATAGTCGACAGGATAGATTATTGTTATTGGGTTCTTCTTTATCATCACCATCATTATCATCATAGAAGTCAATAGTAGTAATAATTATATATGTGGCTGTATGCCAAATTGCTTCTAACCATGTCCTTTTGCATGAAGCACTTGAATAAGCTGACAGATATTTTACCTACCACTTCTTATTTTATTAGACAGAAAACTGAAGCCTAGGAGGGTGGGCACCATAACCAGGGCTTTACCAGTCCCCGGAGCCAGGATTTGAACTCAGAGCTACTTGGCCCTAGAGTAACATGCTTTCAATAACACTATTGTGCTGCCTCCCAAGACATTTTCAATGTGTATTTGCCCATGAATAAGATCATCTGGGGGGCTGTTTGTTGTTAAAGGACACATTTCTATGGTAACAAAACCCTTTGTGGCACTAAGAACATGCTCACATCTGCCCCGTGAAGCTTTGGTTTGATCATGTGATCGTCGCCCAGCGGAGAATCTTTATGATCAAAACTTGCCAACTTGGCCTGTGGAGTGACTCTGTGTCTCCATGAAGCTAATATGTACTTTGAAACGCACAGAGCAAGTAGATGGGGTGGGCTTCTTGCTTTGTTTCTCTCTTGTGCCTTCTTGGGCTCTTTAAGACTTGCCGTGGATGGGGCAGAAAAGAGCATGTTAAGAAAAAGTGTCATTTTTGTGCTCTTGGTACTCTCTTGCTGTGACACGTCTGTGAGAGTGTAATGACAGCATCTGTCTGCTTTGAGTAGAGGACAAGGAGCCTCCCCTGTGGCCATGCAGAAAGCCCAGCAGGTGTCCCAGGGGCTGGACGTGCTCACTGCGAAGGTGGAGAATGCCGCCCGCAAGCTGGAAGCCATGACAAACTCAAAGCAGAGCATTGCGAAGAAGATCGACTCCGCTCAGGTAGCAGGGGTGGGAAGGGACGGGAGAAGCACTCTGGCCATGTTGTATCTGTCTCTCAGGGTCGCCATTGTCCCCCCCCCCCCCCACACACACACAACACAGGCGCCAACCGTTTATTTGTATTTTAAAATACCATTATGAATTTTGCTTCAGTGAGGCCAAAGCAAGCCCCCTGAGTAACCAGGCAAATCCCACTTTTTGTTCTAGATGACCGTTGTTGTGACACTTTAATTCAATCCCAGAATTGACGACTCTTCTCTGGTCCTAATAATGTTAACAGGTTCAGGTTTTCTGATGGCACTCCGTGTGAAATGCTTTTCAAACATTTCACAAAATAATGCGAATAGTCGAGAAACCAAAGAATGAATAAGGTCTGATGAGGTACTCAAGATGAGAATTCAGAACATTTTTGGTGACTGTGTTCAGTATGGCTCATGAGTGGCCTTAAGTGTGCTGTTCCTGTTTCTGTGTGTAGAACTGGCTTGCAGATCCAAACGGGGGGCCAGAAGGGGAAGAACAGATTCGAGGGGCTTTGACTGAAGCTCGGAAAATAGCGGAATTATGTGATGATCCAAAAGAGAGGGATGACATCATGCGTTCTCTTGGAGAGATTTCTGCTCTGACTTCTAAATTAACAGACCTGCGCAGACAGTAAGTATTGCATTCGTCCATCTGCCCTTTGATCTCTTGTCCCCCTAGACACACAGTTAATTGAGTTTCTTGAGTTAAGTGAATGTTTGATGTTTTTTTCACTCTATTCTTATTGATTCTGTGTGACGTGACAGTGACATAACCTCAGCTAAATGATTCATTGCTAATCACATGTATTTTTAATTAATACACTTAAAATCCTAAGAATTCTTTTTGAAATTAAATTGGCTTGGGAGGATTTGGTTTAGGGCCACACCCAGCAGTGCTCAGGGCTTACTCCTGGCTGTGCTCAGCGATCACTGCTGGCTATGCTCAGAGGCCCATACCTAGTGCGAGAGATCCACTGGGTCTGCTGCATGCAAGGCGACCGCCTGACGGGCTGTACTAGCGCTCCAACCCTGAATTCCTTTGAATTAAGATAACTTAAACAAATTTTTTTCCCCCAGTTGTCTGAAAATTCTGTCACCATGGCTGGATGGAGCAGGGCAATTTTGTAGACTGTTTTGTGGTGTTCTTGCAGCTTTTTAAAATTTCTAAGCTAGAATTTTATCATGTTTGTGTTATATCCATTCCCCAAGTATATGAGGGAAGTAGATTGTTAGAGCTAGTTAAGAAAAGGTGTGTGTGTGTGTGTGTGTGTGTGTGTGTGTATACACGTGCATGTGAGCATGCATAGGAGGAGGACTGAAGATGGAAAGAGGAGGCACAGAAAAGATTTTGTTTCTTCCTCAGAAACATTGTTTCTTCCTTCCTTCCCCCTCCCCCTTTTGAATCATCATGAATTACAAAGTTACAAAGATGGTTATGATTGAGTTTCCAGCATATATTGTTCTAACACAAACCCTTAAACGAGTGACCACTACCCTCCACCAATGTCCCCAGTTTCCCTCCTGCCCCACATCCTGACTCTGTGGAAGCCACTCCCCGCCCCCAACACCCCCCACCCCGTCCCCCTTCTTGTCTTAGTGTTTCCTTCTCTAACGTTCCCCCGCCCCAGTATCTGCCGACACCCAGTTCTCCTGCTCTTTGTTTCTCTCGCCATTGGGCATTTGATATTCCCCTGCGAGGTGTCTTTATATCCCACATATGAGAGAGATCATGCTGAATCTGTCTCTCTCCCTCTGGCTGGTTTCACTCCAAGTGATACTCTCCAAATCCATTCACACTGCAGCAAATTGCACAGCTTATCTTTTCTTAGAGCTGCATAGTATTCCATAGTGAATATGTACCAGGGTTTCTTTATCTAGTCATCTGTTCATGGGCTTTTGGATTGCTTCCATATTTTGGCTATTGCATATAGCGCTGTCTCTTTTTAAAAAGAAATTAGCCATTATAAAGATCCTTAAGTAAAGTCCTCCCTCATGGCCTTGTTTGGTTATTTGGAATAGGGGTCTTGTTTTCTTTTCTTATGATAGCTTTTTGTCCCCAAAATAAAGAAGCGCCATAGTGCTGCACAGGCCGGAGAACATTAAGAAAAGGAACAATGTCCAGGGTCAAGTTTCCTTCGTCCAGAATGGTTCCCACAGTCACTCTTCCAGGGCTAACCAGAGTATGTTTCTTGGGAGTTTTTTTGTTTATTGTCTTAGTTCACTCTTTTCGTTTATTTTTAACGGAGTGATAGCCCAGCGGTAGGGCGTTTGCCTTGCGTGCAGCCATCCCGGCTGAGCCAGGTTCGATTCCTCCACCCCTCTTGCAGAGCCTGGCAAGCTACCGAGAGTATTCAATATGCCAAACACAGTAACAAGAAGTCTCACAATGGAGACGTTACTGGGCCCGCTCGAGCAAATCGATGAACAACAGGACAGTGACAGTGACAGTTTCCTTTTTGGTGTTTGGGCCATATCCAATGATTATTCCTGGCTCTCTACCCAGGGATCATCTTGCCAGCGCTCGGGGCACCATGTGAAGTGCCAGGGATCGAATCAGGGTCAGCTACAGGCAAGGCCGGTGCCGGGATCCCTGTACTGTCTCTCTGGTACCTTTTCATTTAGATGCATGTTACATTTTAGATTCCTTTGTTTTGGGGCCACGTCTGGTAGTGCTCTTGAGCTGTTCTTGGCTCGGCCCTCGCACCCCAGCGAGAGATAGTTCAAACGGCTGGAGCGCATGCTCTGCGTCTGTCTTGTGGCTCAGGGTCCTCCGTCTCTGCATTGTGCAGTTCCCTGAGAACTGCTGCAAACTACCCGCAAACAGGAGCCAGGAACTGAGCCCTCGGGTGTCACTGATGGTGGCCCACAAACTAACAAATTTTAAAAAGGTCCTGGCTCCTGGGTGAGTGCAAGCCTGGCATGTATAGGCACTAGGTTCACTCCCAGCACCCCAGGCTGCGCCTGTGCCTCTGGACAGAATATGACACAGCCCCTGTTTCTCTCTGATTTTTTTAAAATAAATTTTATTTAAAGAACCGTGATGTATGAAGTTATTGGTAGTTGAGTTTTAGGCGTATACTATTTCAGCACCAAGCCCACCACCAGTGTGTGACTCTGATTTTTTAAAAAATGGGTGCTGTAGGTGCCTTCTAATGGTGCCTTCTGCACACATTGGACCCTGAGGATCATTAGAATTACATTACGTTGTCTGGCCTGATTGGGGGCTCATTGTATTTGTTAGTCACTGAGTTCGTGAGTTCTGGTAAGGGCTGGGGATTGTTTGAAACCATCCTGAGGCAATGTGTATGATGTGTAAGAGTGAGACTGGAAAGGCAGAGCCCTGGGGTTGTGTCCTGGCTTTACCAGTAAATAAAAGATACTCGGGTAAATTATCTGGTCTTTTCGCACCGCAGTTTCATTTGAAAATGAACCTTTTTTTAAATTTAAATCCACATGTTTCTGAGTAAAAAATTGGGAATCAGGGGGCTGGAGAGATAGCACGGCGGGTAGGGTGTTTGCCTTGCATGCGGCCGACCCGGGTTTGATTCCCAGCATCCCATATGGTCCCCTGAGCACCGCCAGGAGTAACTCCTGAGTGCAGAGCCAGGAGTAACCCCTGTGCATCGCCAGGTGTGACCCAAAAAGCAAAAAAAAAAAATTGGGGATTACACTGCTATTGACTGGGGATGAGCAACAGTACCATGGGTAGGCTGTTTGCCTTGCATGCAGCTGACCCGGGTTTAATCTCTGGCATCCCATATGGTCCCCAAGCACAGCACCACCAGGAGTGATTTCTGAGTATAGAGCCAGAAGTAACCCCTGGGATTGCTGGGTATGACCCAAAGAGCTCCCTCCCCCTCCAAAAGCCCTGAGTACTGATATCTATTGATACCAGTAGATATCTATGATATCTGCTGATATCTCATAGGGTTGTTGAAAGGTTTAAATAATTTAAGAGTGCTTGCTCTAATACTTAAACGGGGGATGGGGGCGTCAAAAGATCATACTGCTAGTTAGTTTCTATAATGACTTCAGCCAACAGACATGGCTCGGTGAGTTGCCCACTTCAGGCCCCAAGAAAGTGTTTGCAGAGACAGTGGGCTGAGGGTTCAGCTGAGCTGTGATAGGTTGAGCTGAGCTTTCCAAGTGTCTAACCTTGGTTGATCTATATTGACCCAACTCGTATCTTAACTGGGAGAAGACAATCTGAATTTTTATATTACTCATTTCTTTTTTCTGTGTTCTATAGAGAATACATCGTCTTTTCAAACAGCATAATAATCATGGGCCACTGATCCTCTCGTTGGTCTTTGTGTAGTCGTCTCATTCTAAGTAGCATCTGTGTGTGACAGATACTGTTCTTCTCCCCAGGGGGAAAGGAGATTCCCCAGAGGCCCGAGCACTGGCCAAACAGGTGGCCACTGCCTTGCAGAACCTGCAGAGCAAAACCAATAGGGCCGTGGCCAACAGCAGGCCCACCAAGGCTGCTGTCCATCTTGAGGGCAAGATCGAGCAAGCACATCGGTGGATTGATAACCCCACAGTGGACGACCGGGGAGTTGGTAAGGCCATCAGTGGACTTAAAGTTCCCATGAAATTGATGTTCGTGAAAATTAGCAAGATCTTGGTAGAGCTATAGCCATCTGTCATTAGGGTGTGGGATTGCGGGGTGGATTGTTTCTTGAATCGCAGGTCTGTAGGCCATTCTGTACCGTGACTCCTTTTCCACACGTGGCCAACTACATTTTGGCGATTTAATCCAGATGTGTTTACAAAGTACATTGTTTTGCAAATAAGAAAAGTCCTTAGATGGGAGTTGAAATTTGAGCTAATTATTATTCAATCTGCTAGTTATTTTCAATATGCAGACTTCCATTCTCTTGTTCCTGCTTCCAGTCTATCGTTCCATTCAATTACCGTAGGACAGAAATTACATAAGTAAATACAGTTTTGGAAAATAGGTGAAAGGCACTTACCCACCAAGATTATTTTTAGTTGTACCAGAATGAATGAACTAGAATGTTGATTTAGGGGAGAATCTGGGAATAAGTCTAAAAGAATTTAGTCATATTATGATAGCAAACCTGCTAAAAATGAAAGATCTTTTTTCTTTATTTGCTGTATTCATTGACAAAAAGGAATTTTAAAATTTGTGATCTCCAGTGTTAAGGAATCAGACATATAATAGTATACTGGGGAAGGAACAAATTGGTGCAAACTTTTTGAATGGTAATTTGCTATTATAGGTCAGTATTTTTAAAATGTTCATTCCAGGGGCTGGAGCGATCGCACAGAGGGTAGGGCATTAGCCTTGCACGCTGCCGACCCGGGTTCGTTTCCCAGCGTCCCATATGGTCCCCTAAGCACCTCCAGGAGTGATTCCTGAGTGCAAAGCCAGGAGTAAGCCCTGTGTGAACCCAAAAGCAAACAAACAAACAAACAAACAAACAAACTCAGAAATGGACCAGCAGAGGCCCAGTGCTTTCCCCAGGAAAAGCCTGATTAACTCCTGCTTGTGTAAAGAATTTCAGACCAAGGCAATTATGGAAAACATCTCTATGTTACTTCCTTCCAAAATCCATTCTGGACTCTCTCCACTTTGGAGAACATGAAACTCTCTATTGGACGTGAAACTCTTTCTCCTCATTTCCGAAATAAACTTACCTTAAAAAAAATGTTCATTCCAGGGCTGAAGAGATAGTATAGTGGGTAGGGCTCTTGTCTAGATGTAGCTGACCCAGGTTCGACCTGTGGAGCCACATGTGGTCCCCCAGGTCCTGCCAGGAATGATCCCTGAGTGCGGAGCCAAGAGTAACCCTGAGCACTGCCAGGTGTGACACAGAAACCCTAAATAAATAAATAAATAAATAAATGAGTGACTAAAAATGTTCATTCCCTTTGCCTCAAATGTGGCTTACAGGAGTATATTCAAGAAATCATTAAAGATTTCCTAAGTGGTCATGTATAAGAACATATATAAAAGTGTTGTTATTACTGTGTCTGGCATATCGAATACTCTCGGTAGCTTGCCGGGCTCTTCGAGAGGGGCGGAGGAATCGAACTCGGGTCGGCCATGTTGGCCGCTTGTAAGGCGAACGCCCTACCCGCTGTGCTATCACTCCAGCCCATATAAAAGTGTTAATATTTAATAAGTAAGAGGCTAAAAATTATGGCTGATATGATAAAATATTACATAGATTTTTCACTAATATTTAATGGTGCAAAATATGTGCATTAAACAGGCTGAAGCAATAGTACAGCAGGTCAAGTGCTTACCCTGCTTGCAACAGACTCAGGCTCAGTTCCTGACATCCTATATGATCCCCTGAGCACTGCCAGAAGTGATTCCTGGGTGCAGAGCTCGAGCATTGCTGAGTGTCGCTGAGCCCAGAGCATTGCTGGGTGTGGCCCCAAAGCATAGCAAAACAAAAATAAACTGTAACCAAGAATAAAAATTGATTTATTATTTGATCACAGTTTTGTGAGAGAGAAATTACATGTCTCAGAGCATGTGATACATTAAAATAGAAGGAAATGTTCAGAAATATCATTCTCCAAATGATGCGATGATGAGTGGCTTATTCTTATCTATACATTTATATATTCTCTTGTTAGGACAAACTTCCCAGTAAGAGCCCCCCCCTTTTTTAACCGAATGACCTTGAGACACACAGTTACAGAGCTGTTTAGAATCATGTTTCAATCATACACTGTTCCAGTACCAGTAGGTGCACATTTTCCCTCCTTCCACCCCTGCTCCCACGTCCGCATCTATGACAGACACTTCTCTCTCTCTCTCTCTGTCTAGTCTCTCTCTGTCTAGTGGCACTATTGTTTTTGTTTGTTTTGGGGGAATGGCTGTCCCCCTTCTCAGGGCTTTCTCCTGGCTCAATGCTCACTCCTGGTAGGGCTCAGGCGACCATAAGTGGTGTCAGGGATAAAGCTCGGGTCCTCCTCCAAGGCCTCCTCTTAACCCCTGTACTGTCCAGCCCTTAAGCAGTGTTTTTTTTTCTTCCTTTAAACATTGTAAAGGAAGCCATGAAAGACCTTTGACCATAACATGCCATAGCCATGTTCTTCAGGCCTGTCTGAGTTCAGTGGTTTTCTCTTTTTCAGGTCAGGCTGCCATCCGGGGGCTGGTGGCTGAAGGGCATCGGCTGGCTAATGTCATGATGGGACCTTATCGCCAAGATCTTCTTGCAAAGTGTGACCGCGTGGATCAGCTGACAGCTCAGCTGGCCGATCTGGCTGCCAGAGGGGAAGGGGAGAGCCCCCAGGCTAGAGCACTGGCGTCTCAGCTTCAGGATTCATTGAAGGTAGAATCAACTTCCCTCCCTCCCTCCCTCTCTCCCTCCTTCCCTCTATCCTTCCTTCTGTTCCTTCTTCCCTCCTCACCTCCTCCTCTCCCTCCCTCCCTCCCCTCCCTCCCTCCCTCCCTCCCTCCCTCCCTCCCTTTCCTCCCTCCTTCCCTTTCCTCCCTCCTTCCCTCCCTCCCTCCCTCCCTCCCTCCCTTCCTTCCTTCTTTCCTTCCTTCCTTCCTTCCTTCCTTCCTTCCTTCCTTCCTTCCTTCCCTCCTTCCCACCTCTCTCCCCTTCTTTTTTTCTTCCCTCCTTCTCTTTCCCTTCTCCCCGCCTTTCTTCTTCCCGTCCCTTTCCGTCCCCATCCCTCCACTCCCTTCCTCTCCCCTCCCTCCCCTCCCTTCCCCTCCCCTTCCTTTTTTCTTTGTCTCAGTATCATTTCTTTGATGGCATTGAGCACTGAGAAAGGAAGTAAACTTCCTTGGTTGAGCGAAGGGTCTCTAGGCAGATGTGGGTCATGCTTTACCCCTGCTGCTCAGTAGACGCTGATCTCTTGGAATGCAGGAGTCTCACGCTATACGTGGTCAGGGATTTGTCAATAGTTGATACTCGGTAAATCTTCATTGAATTCACAGAGTGAATGGAAAGTGGGGACATAGGGAGATGTGTTGGGGGATGTTTCTGATATTTGCCCTTATAAACAATGTTTTCAAGGACCTGAAAGCCCAGATGCAGGAGGCCATGACCCAGGAGGTGTCAGATGTCTTCAGTGATACCACAACCCCCATCAAGCTGCTGGCGGTGGCGGCCACTGCCCCTCCCGATGCTCCCAACAGGGAAGAGGTAGGTGTCTGCGGCCGCACGCACGTACATGCACAGAGACAGTTCGGACATACATGTGCATGAATCACTTTATCAAGGCAAAATGCGATGGCAGTGTGCTGTGGGGCCAGAAGGAATCTGTCACTAGCTTAGTCACCGATGGGCCCAGTGAGGAATGCCTCTAGGACACGTATTTAGTTCCAAGCAGTAGAAAACCTGATCATCACAAAGAAAACAAGGAGGTTTTGTTTTTGCCACACAAGAAGAAATGTGGAGTCAGGCCCCCTTGGCACTCGTGCACAGCCTGGTCACGAGACCAGGTGTCTCTAGGCCTTTCCTCATGGTGGCTGGCAGCCGCCAGAGGCCAGGCATCATTTCCATTGTGGGGGGCACTCCTGTCACTATTGTCCCTTGGATTTGGGCATTTTATTCCTTGCGCCAGAATCGGGATCCTTTTAAATCATTTCTTGTTTTCTATTCAGACCTTCCAATAACTTCTCTCTGTCCCAGAGTGAGGCCAGAGTCCTCAAAATGAGCTGTAAGGCTGGTCTGTGCTGGTAGTGGGAAGGATGCTTCGGTCGTGGGGGCCAGATTTGTAAGGCTTGTTGATTTCTATGATAGAAAACCCCCTTTTCTGGGGGGGCACACTCTCAGTTGATGCTCAGGGGTTACTCCTGGCTCTGCACCATCCTGGTGGTGCTTGGGGGACCATATGGGATGCTGGGGATCAGCCATGGGTCAGCTGCGGGCAAAGCAAACTCCTCCCTGCTGTGCGGTCCCTCCGGCCCCTGCTCGTCCTTTGACTGCTCCGCTGTGACATCACTGAAAGCCAAGCTGGGCACGTGGGGCTGGTCATGAGAGCCCACAGCTCAGTCCCAGCTGCTTTCCACCTCCACTGTCTTCCCACCCTTCCAGCCTCTCGTCCGCGTTCAGGCCTAGGCCGTCTGGTTTGACCTGGTTTTTGTTTTGTTTTGTTCTTACCGCTTAGCGATGAGAATCTCGGCTTGAATCTCTGATCTCATAACTCCCTTCTCCTCCCTGACCTCGGCCCCTGTTTCTCTCTTTAGCTGGTCACCCCCGCACTTCCTCGGTAGGACTGTTGATGTGCCAGTCCCACCCCTTGCCTGCTGTCCTTCTTTGCTGGCTAAGCTTGGCTTGCTGCTCCTGTTACCTCATCAGAAAGGACCGAGCACCTATATTCTCCTCAAACCTTGGGGCAGGTGCTAAAGATTCAGACATGAATAAAACATGCATTTGTATCTAAAGAAGCCTCACCTGGGGCCAGAGCCATAGTAGAGCACATAGGGCGCTTGCCTTGCACATGGCTGACCTGGAGACCCAAGCACCACCAGATATGAACCCAAGATAAAAAAATATATATATAAAAAGTGAAAAAATAAAAAGTCCACGTGTGTGTTGGAAAGACTAGGGCAGATATTAACAATCAGGTGCTCTGACACTCCTGCTCTCATTTCTTCCCGTAATTTGTCAATAGTTTCCTTCATTTTACTGAATATCTGTCTGAGTGTTTCATTGAGTTCATTGAACATCTTCATGACTTCATATCTGAATTCTTTGTCAGAGAGGTCCCTTAGGTGAGCAGCACCTACAGAGGCTTCTGGATTCTTTTTCCCCATGTGGTAGGGATTTGCATTGTTTCTTCATGTTGGTGTGTAGGTATGGGGACTAGGTTCCTTGGTATGGCTAAACTACCTGCGGCCGCGTGAGCGTTGGCCTGCTGAAAATTGGGCCACACCCACCTCTACAGAAGCCACGCCCACTTCCGAAAAGACCACGCCCCCACGGGTACCTGGTGTGGGGGGGGGGGAGTAAAGACTGGGTAGGGGAGAAGCCCAGCACAGCTTGGGGGACGAAGAGGAAGAGGCAGAGGCTCATGGCTGCTTTTCTCCCAACGTCAGAGAGGACGCCTGGGGGCTTGCAGGGAGAAATCCAAGTCTCGGGTTCGAATACCGGCAGAGAAACTGACCTGGGTTTGGGAGAGGACCAGAACAACTTGGGGGACGAAAAACAACAATCGGGTGCTCTGGATGCAGAACTCAGTACTGATACTGTGCCACCCAAAGGAAAGCGTAGGGCCTGGCTGGGAGGGCAAGAAGGGTTAGGAGTCGGGTGAGAGATAGTACAGTAAGCAAGGGACTTGCCTTCTGCATAGCCAACCTCAGACCTCAGCACTGGCTATGGTCGCCTGAGCCCCATCATGAGTGAGCACAGAGCCAGGAGTAAGTTGTGAGCAGCCCTGCCCTCACCTCCAAAGAAAGGATAGTCATGAATTCGCTCAAAATGAAGAAGGGGAAGTTAAATAGGCAGAAATAGAAAGAACAAAGACATTGAAAGAGAAAGGAGTAGGTATGCATAGAATGAAGCAATTTAATATCGCCAGGGCATAGACTGAAAGGCAACAAATTCGGGAGAAAGAGAGAATTAGAAACTAGGTCTTAGAACTTGGCTAACTCTGGGTGAAAGGGAAGGCCAGCTGTAGGGTTTCAGCGGGACAAAGATCCGGGTCAGATTTGTATTCTGTTTTACTGGTGGCCTCATGATCTGTTCCAAGAAAACCAGCTAAAATTTGCAGACATGACCAGCTGCAGAGGGCATGAATTAGAGCTGAAGCAGTGATAGCCTGAATGGAAAATGGAAAGGATTTAAGGAGTTTTTGTGAGATCAGGTTAGCTTGCCTTTGTGCCTTTGTCTTTGGTTGGTGTTGGAAGGTAAGAGAAGGGCGTCGTCATGGCGACTCACAGGTTACCTGCTGAAGGCTCGGGGTTGGTGAGTCATCTGGGTAGGGCTGGTGGAGAGTAGGCACTGCCCGTCTGAAATCAGAGAAGATGGGCAGAAAAAAAAATTAGCAAATCTTGCTCGCCTGGGAGGGCCAGGAACTGTGTGCTCGGTCACTAGAGCTAGAGGAAGGAAAAGGTGTCACTGCCAAATAAGAAAAACAGAGCCTCCACAGATGAGAATAACAGGCCTCCTGTTAGCAGATGCGAGGAACAGACCTTCGCCCACCAGCTCTCCATGGTCGTGGGTGCCTCATCTTAATCCCTTCCTCTGAGCTGCCAATATGAGAGAAGATGGAAAAACGAATAGCCGCGTTCCTAGAGCCTTTGGCTCTGAGTGGGCTGGAATTCTAGTCAGTGAGATCATCGCAGTTTCCTGGAGCGACCAGAGTGATATAGGGCGGTTGAGGCACGTGCCTTGCACACTGTCCCTGTTTGGATGCTGAGCACTCCAGGGCAGGGCACAGCCCCAGCTCTGTGGATAGCCTGAGTAACCTTCAGCTCGGAAGGGCCCCATTGAATTGCAGTTGAAGAATTGCTGGGAGGGGTCCCCCAGTCTGCTGAGAACTGCTTGGGAGACTACCCCCCCACACCAAAAAAAAAAAAAAGAAGACTCCCAAATATCTGGAGGATATATTTTATTTATTTTAGTTTTGGCCCACACCTGACAGTCCTGGGTAGCTTGCACTGCGCCTGACTCTGTGCTGAGAGGGTTTCTCCTGTGGTCTTAGGGATTGAATCCAGGGTGCCCACATGCCACAGATGCACTAGCCCTTTGCGCTGTTGTCCTGAAGCACAGCAGCCTCTGGAGAGTTTTCAGGGAAGCCTTTACCGTTACCGATTGAGCACCACCCCAAGCCCGGCATGGTTTTAAGAGTCAGGTCAGAATGATGATAAAATGAGTCCCTAGTGAGGCTTTTATGCGAGCGTGAAAGAGACAGATGAAAAATGAGATCATTACCTTAAATGCTGATAAATACGGAGGAGAGAAGTTGGATGCAGAAGTTGGAAATCCTGGGGGTGAGGGTGCGGTTGCTCTCCAGGGTGACAGCCTGGAAGTGATGTTTCATTAGAAAAGTGAAAGTGAGTCACGCTTGGAGGCACCAAGCAATGGTTGGTGACCTTTGCACATCAGACACAGTGGGGCCCGGGTGTGCGGTGGGACCGTTCACTTGGGACCTGACGTCAGTTCTAAAGTCTCTGCTCATGTGTGGCCGCCTCTGCTAAAAAAGACTGTTTTCTTAGACCGCCTGACTTGTTTCATTGGAATGAGTTTTCTCTGTTTTCTCTGTGTCTTTGTCTTTTCCTTAAGGTGTTCGACGAAAGGGCAGCTAACTTTGAGAACCACTCAGGCCGGCTTGGTGCCACAGCAGAGAAGGCAGCCGCTGTTGGAACAGCAAATAAGTCGACAGTGGAAGGTATCCAGGCGTCGGTGAAGACCGCCCGAGAACTCACTCCTCAGGTGGGTCGTGGCTCAGTCGTCCTCACTCCAGTGCTCATTGAGCAGTGGACAGCAAAGAGAGCTACTTATGCGGGCCAGAGAGGTTGCACGGGAATTAAGGCACTTGCCTGGCATGAGGCAGACCCCAGTTCAATCCCTGGCACTGCCTGTGGTCCCCTGATTACCACTAGGATGATCCCTGAGCACAGAGCCAGGAGTCAACCCTGAGTATCATCAGGGGTGCCTCCTCCCAAAACAAATAGAAAACTTACAAAACAGTTGCTCTACATTTTCTATTATTCCCACAGACTAGGAAAGAATATGCACAGTGGGGCTGGAGCCACAGTAAAGCAGGTAGAGCTTGCCTTGGACGAGGCTGGCACCTGGACGAGGTTTGTTTAGATTCCTCAGTTCAAGCATCAGCCTGTGGGCATGGAGATTATTGGGACTTTCACATTTTATGACCTTGCTGGACGTTAGGGGCCAGAGTGATAGTCTGTCGGGTAGGGAAGAAGCCTTGCCTCCGGCGCCAACCCAGGTTTGATCCCTGGTACGACATGTGGTCCCTGATTAACCCATATTCCCTTGGTCCCCCAAGCCCCTCCAGGAGTGATCCCTGAACACTGAGCCAGGAATAATGTCCTGAGCACAGCCTGGTGTAGCTCCAAGCCCAAAATAAAAAATTAAAAATACCCATAATGTCAGACTTAATTTTATATCATTTGCATTTTTTGATAAAGACCATAGATTAGATTTTGTTTCCCTTCCCCCTCTCCCCCCATTGCCAGGGATTGAATCCAGGTTCTATATGTGAAAGGCGGGAGCTCTGAGCCACTTTCCAGGTTGAAAGGGGCAAATGCTAGTGAAGCATCCCCTCCCCCATTACATACTGAACAAACCTGAGTGCAGTTTATTTTGAATTTAGAGTTTGTGCCTTTCTCTATGTCTCTTTGGGAGAGTGCGTTTTCAAAACTTCATTTATATCCATAACTGATTTTTCTCTTTCAATTTAGTTATATAACCAAACTCTAGCTAGTATGAAGTGGACAGTGTAATGGAGGAGAGGAAACCAAAGGAAACACATGGGACAGAAATGAAAGTTCTGACAGATGATGGGTATTCTCGTTTTGTGGGGATGGGAGATGACTCCTAAGTGGGGGTACACTCCCGGCAAGAGTCCTCCAGGTCGATGGTACAGTGCAAGAACCCGAAGATGCAGTGCTGGGGATTCCTGGGCCACCTGGTGATGCCTGGGTGTCATGCCAGGAGCCCAAGTGGGTTGGAATCGTGCAAGACATGGGCCCTGACTCCTGTCCCCTCTTCCTGGCCCCTATTTTGGGCATTCTTAAAAATATCATCAGTTCAATATCATCAATGTGATGTTTATATGTTGTTCACCTAATCAAATGAAATCATTTTTTTTTTTACATGCACTTACTCAGCAGATATTGGATGCCTGTAAGGCATTAGAATCAAACTATTGATCTAATTTAGTAGGAACTTGTGAGGAGAGATGGGAAGTAAGATTTCTTTATGGCTCAACTTTTGCCCGGGTGGTATGTTAATGCAATAGATCCTCTTGACAAAATCACGTGTGTTCACTTAAAAGAAAACCTTCCAGAGGGACCCGGCCTGAGTTCCGTTCCCAGCATGGCCGGTGCCACCACACTGTCAGCGCTGTTCTAAAACAGAAACAAAAATGGAATCATTGATTTTAAACTTCTAGAAAACATGAAGTTTTTCTTTTAAGAACTTCTGTTTAAAAAATGAGACTTGAGGGCGCAGAGAGGTAGTATAGCAGGTCGGAGCTTGCCTTGCCCACGGGAGAACCTTGCTTGATCCCCCGGCATCCCGGATTGTCCCCTGAGCACTGCCAGAATTGATTGCCAAGTGCAGAGCCAGGAGTACCAGGAGTAAACCTTTGCTGTGTGGCTCCCAAACAAACAAACAAAAATGAAACACCAAACATGTTTGAAGTTCCTGTATAAAACATTTTCTAAAGAAGGAAAACAGAAAACTTAAGACATCAACTGTGAAAAGGGCAAGAACTTTAGAAATTGATTTGGACCTTCCCCCAAAGCTGTAACATTAATAGATGCTCTTACGGGGGCTGGAAAGATAACAGTGGGTAAGGTGCTTGTCTTCCATGCCACGGACCCAGTTTGATTCCTCACACCCCAGGTGGCCCCCCCAAGCCTGCCAAGAGTGATTCTTGAGCACAGCCAGGGATAAGCCCTGAGCACCGCTGGGTCAGACCCCAAACCAAAACCAACCAACCAAATTAAAAAAAAAATAAAAAGCACAGCAATAAAACTAGGAGCTTTTAAATTTTCTGAGTCTTGATTTTGTATCTATAAAGTGGAGAAATTATATCCTATCTCTCCGTCTGGTTTTTGTAAGGAGTTGGTAAGACAATAAATGTGAAAGCACTCTGTAAATGCTGTAAATGTTATTTTTTGAGAAAAATGCTTGTTAGTTTTCAATAATATTTGTTCTCTTTTCATGGTGCTTTTCAAGATAGACTTAACACCCAGGGTGTAAATCTTTGTCAGCGTCTATATATTCCCAAGTACTAAGCAGGCACCCATTGGCTTTGCTCCTTTCATAACTTCTTACAATTCATCAGTGACTGTCAAAAGTTTTTTTGCTAGGGCTCAGTGGATGAGACTCCAGGCATTGCTTTCTGGCTGAAGAGACTTGCCCATTTTGACGTTAGAGTGGCTTTATAGTGCCACCTATGGGGAGAGAAGAGGAAGCGCCCCTGAAGGCTTGGGTTTCTGTGGGAGGCTGCTCTGGTGTTTAAAGGTTGTTCTGTCACCGCCAGGTCGTCTCAGCTGCCCGCATCTTACTTAGGAACCCTGGAAACCAGGCTGCTTACGAACACTTTGAGACCATGAAAAACCAGTGGATCGATAATGTGGAGAAGATGACAGGTGAGTTGGTGTGTGTGTGCGGCGTTCTCCCTGGACTCCCGAAGAGCTGGCTGGGGCACCCCATCGGCCCTGGAGACAGGGGCTGTCACATGCTCGCCGGTGTTCTGGGCCCTGATGGCAGCTGCCAAGCAGAGGCGGCTCCCTCTTCAAGCCTGGCAGCTTTGAGAGAGACTCTCTGAGCCGCCCTCCCGGTGTGATGTTTATTGTCCCGGCCCCTATCTCCTCCGTGAATGGTGCCTTTGCTCCCGCTGCGCCCTGAGTTTGGTTTCAGAGGCGGGAGGCTATGTCCCTGGACACAGTGAGTGGCCCTGTCGTTTCCACCGGCTTCACGTTTCAGGGAGCCACAATAGCTCCCATTTAACCCAGCTTGTCTCAGAGTCTCCTCCAACTTATCAACTACGTAGTTTGGGCGAAGAAAGAAGAAAGGAAAGAAAAAAGAGAAAGAGCGAGAGACACAGCGACGCACAGCCTGTGCGAGTCAGTCCGTGCAAGTGCAGGGCAGCTCGGAATCTTCCTTCCCTGCGGAGGGAGAGGAGGAGAAGGGGAAGGATGAGGAGTGTTGGGGCGCGTCAGCTTCCCTGCCCAGTCCTGGCGGGGTCCGCGGTGGCCAGAGATGAAAGTGGAGTTCGTGAGGTGTCTGAAGACGACAGGTAACAGGAACAAGAACAGGCTTCCTGGCCATCGCGATCCTTTGCGTGGCTCATCTTGGCCACTGCCGGCTGCCAACAAGCAACAGATGGCCGGGGAGCGTGAAAATGTCCCTCACCGATAAAGTGGCGGCAGCGCGGTGGAGGTTTCCCACGCGGACCTTATCGCCTCTGCTTGTTGTTCCTGCTGGTCTGGGAAAGACGAGGAAGCCAGGGGCCACGGTTGGGATCGGTACTATGAGTCTGTGCAGCCTTGCCTCACTGTGTACCGCTGATTTCACCTGCAGCCTTTTGGTTCTAGAGGAGAACCCGGGGCTGGAGAGGGGACTCTGGGTATTGGACTTTCGCATGAGCACTGTGAGCGGACGACAAGGTTTTGGAGACTGTGTGTGTCTAAAACTAGTGGCTAAATTCCGTTCTGTCTTCCCCTGACAGGGTTGGTGGACGAAGCCATCGACACCAAGTCTCTGTTGGATGCTTCCGAAGAAGCGATTAAAAAAGACCTGGACAAGTGTAAAGTGGCCATGGCTAACATTCAGCCGCAGATGCTGGTCGCAGGGGCAACCAGCATCGCTCGCAGGGCCAACCGGATCCTGCTGGTGGCCAAGAGGGAAGTGGAGAACTCGGAGGACCCCAAGTTCAGGGAGGCCGTGAAAGCCGCCTCGGATGAGCTGAGTAAAACCATCTCGCCAATGGTGATGGATGCCAAGGCTGTGGCAGGCAACATCTCTGACCCAGGTAAGCAGAGGCACAGGCCGCCCCTCCCGAGAGCTTACCTCAGGAAGCTGATGGGGTGGGGGGATGGTGCTCCCCAACCACCTTTACATATAAAGCCTGGGTGCCCCAAAATGATAGATACTGACTCGAGTATGCTTACCTGAACACGAGACGCCCTTTCTTCTTTTCTCTCAAAAGCAGTTGTCTAGATCTTTCAGGCTGGTTAGGAATCAGTTTCTCTGGGTACCTCCTGCATGCTGCCCGCACGTTCCTGGCCCTGCGTGGTCATCATTTTAGACGCTTCTCAAAAACACATGATAACCATTTGCCAACTGTTTGGCTTATGTAACTGCCATAACCTCTGCTTTATTTCAGATGCTTTTTTTTCTCTCTTCAGTGTGCTCTATTTCTGTTCACGCTGGGGGGCTCACATTGGCCTACAATGTCTTAAGTGACTCTCTGCGTCTTTCACCAAAGATCTGAATTTTCATGAGCTAAATTGTTATCAGGTTTCCTGGATGACTAAAACTATCCCCTTTTTTTTTTGGAAACCCCTGGGGGTTCTTCTGGCCTGGAGCACCTACTGCCTCTAACCCTGCCTGCCAGGGCCTCTTGTCCTTAGGGACGGGGCTCCCCTGGGCGGCCCTGGCCCAGCACGGTCCTGCTCATGCCCTCGTTCCCCAGCACTAAGGACAGGCTTATATCTGGCCGCAAGGTGAAGATGCAGAATGGCCAATGGAGCAGAGGAGTAGGGAGAAAGGGGACCCCATGTGCCTAAAACCCACATTGCCCCTATTCTGAGCTGGGCAGACCCGTGTCTCACTGCTTCATCCTGAGGGAAGTGGCAAGCATTCCGAGCTCGGAGCTCCCCACCAGCCTGTGAGCAGGCAGGTATTTGAGCAGGCAGGAATGTGTCCTGGGGGCCATGGGGCCACTGGCTAGGACACGAATGACCTTACAGGGCTGCAGGACAGGCCCCTGCCACCCGGGCTTGCTGGTGGCTCCGAATCCAGCTTTTGTTCATCCAAACAGTCCTGAGTTGGGACTGAAAGGGCGTCTCGTGTTCAGGTCTGCAGAAGAGCTTCCTGGACTCGGGATACCGGATCCTGGGAGCAGTCGCCAAGGTTCGAGAAGCCTTCCAGCCTCAGGAGCCCGACTTCCCCCCGCCGCCACCAGACCTCGACCAGCTCCGAGTAAGTCAGAGGGAGGTGTGGGAAGGAGGGGAGGAGAGAGGGAGGGGCAGGTGCTGGAGGCGGAAGGAGGGGCAGGTGGCCTGTGCTTTCTCTTGGAAGCCCTGGGTCATTTGCTTTAGGGTCTGAACATGCAGGCAGAAACACCCCTGATCTAGCAGGGTCCTGGCACGGGGGTGCTGGGTAGGGGGGCGGGAGTGGATGGTGGTCCATGCTGTTGGGGGGAAGCAGTGAGGGGCAGATTAGGGCACTTTTGATATGGTGTGGGCTGGGTCGTGAGATATTAATGAGGAGTGAGATAATAGTCTGCACAGAGGATTTAAACTGGGAGCTGAAGCCACAGGACAGCGGGGAGGGAGTTGCCTTGCACACTGTGACCTGGGCTCAATCCTCAGCAATCCATATGGTCCACTGAGCTCACCAGGAGTGATTCCTGAGCACCAAGCCAGGAATAAACCCTGAGCATCTCTGGGTGTGTCCCCCAAAACAAAACAAAACAAAACAAAATGAAAGAAATAAAAGTTAGAATCTTTTACAGGTTCGTTCTTTTCTTGACTTTTTTTTGGGTTATGTAACAGAAGTAATGTAATCATTTTTAGTTCATGTATCCCCTGCCCAACTATATCTTAAAATTGGCATTTAATTCAAAGTAATGGCATTTATCCCCTCCTAGGTAAGTAGCTTCAGCAGATATAGAGAAAAACCAAGAATCAGATAGCACGACTCCTTTGAAGTCCTTTACTCTAGTAGTAGACAGAGCTTCACCTTGGGAATAGCTTATAAGGGTGATAATTCGATTTACCTTCCTTGATAGATGCCCCATATTTAAGTAAGTAAAAGATGATGTGTCGGGGCTGGAGCGATAGCACAGCGGGTAGGGTGTTTGCCTTACATGCGGCCAACCCGGTTTCGATCCCCAGCATCCCATATGGTCCCCTGAGCACCGCCAGGAGTAATTCCTGAGTGCAGAGCCAGGAGTAACCCCTGTGCATTGCCGAGTGTGACCCCCCCCCCAAAAAAAAAGATGAAGTGTCTGAGTTGCTGGAGGACAGAATTGTTTCCTTGTGTCCTGAATCCCGCTGGAAGGCCCAGTGCTCCCTGAGTCCACAGCTCAGCTTCCTCTATGGTTGGTGGTCACGGAGGACCCTGGCCGGCCGCTGTGAGAGCAGAGCTCGACCCAGGGAAGATCCCCAAGGTCTCTGGGCTCGCTCTCCCGCCTTGGCAGTGGGGTCAGGGGCTCACTGGGGCATTTTTGCCTCCGCAGCTGCCGTCTGCTATGTCAGGGTAGAGCTGAGATAGTCCGTAAGCATGTTGAGGCTCTTTGGTCTCAGGTGCTGGGATTTGACCTACTCAGTAGCTGCTGGGGCTTCGTGGCGGGAAAAGGAAGAGAAGGTGCTTCTGGTTCCGCTGGGGGCTATGGTCCAGGTACTTAGATGGAGTGACCACTGTGGGTTATATTCAGGAATCACTCCTGGCAGTGCTCATATGGGATGCCAGGGATCGAACCCGGATCGGCCACATGCAAGGCAAACACCCTAATCACTGGACCACCACTCTGGTCCTCATGTTGCTTCCTTTTCAGTTGGCAGATGAGCTTGCTCCTCCCAAACCACCTCTGCCTGAGGGTGAAGTTCCTCCGCCCAGGCCCCCGCCGCCCGAGGAGAAGGATGAGGAGTTCCCTGAGCAGAAAGCCGGGGAGGTGATCAACCAGCCCATGATGATGGCTGCCAGGCAGCTCCATGATGAAGCCCGAAAATGGTCCAGCAAGGTGCGTAATGAAGCTTTGCTCGTGGAGCGAGGAGGAAGAGGCTTTCGGGGATGCGTCTGCTCTCTGCCGGGCTCCTGTCGCCAGGAGCACAATCCTCTTCTTGGGCTATCAGGAGGTGACTCCGGGCTTCCTGGTTTCCCCTGTTGGCAGCCAAAGCGAGATATTGGAGCGTCAGCCTCGCTGGCCCCGCACGCTGTCTTGGTGGCTCTCTTGCTGATGACGGGTCCCTGTTCCAGTTTCCCTGGGCTGCTGCAGCTGCAGGGAACGTGCAGCTGCCTGTCAAGGAGGCAGGTAGATAGATGAAATGTCTTGGAACTCGGATGCTTCGTCCACTCCTCAGAATCAGCTCACCCCTCCCTCACCAGGACAGGCACGGCTAGCCTGGAAGTGGAAATAGGAAAGCGTGTGGGGAAGTGCGGATCTGCCTTGGTACTGGCCCAGGGGGCATTTTTGCCTTTTTGTGGGTTTTGTTTAGGTTTTTGTTTATGGGCCACACCCTGTGTTGCTCAGGGGTTACTCCTGGCTCTGCCCTCAGGAATTACTCCTGGCGGGGCTCGTGGGTTCGTATGGGATGCCGCTATGCTATCGCTCTGGCCCCTGGCCATTGCTCTTCTCACAGCCGGTGTCCAGAGCCCCTCTCTGACGGCAGCTGCCCCTGTCTCCTGCCCACACCACAACCTACAGGTTTGTCAGGCAGAAACAGTCCCCGTGGTTTATTCTGAGCTGGTAGCGGGGAGCGCAGGTTCTAAGAAGGCATGGCGACCTCGCTGCTGTCTCCCTGCCCCATGGGATTATTTGTGACGTCAGTCCCCAGCTGGAGCACGCGCACCCCTCAACCATTGGCAGAGCCCCAGTGCACGTGAGGGGGATGAAGCAAAGATGGTCTTTTCTCAGAGGCCTTCTGTGGGGAGTTTGGGTTTGGGGGCCACACCTGACAGTGCTGTTCCTGGTAGGGGCTAGTCCTTGCCCTGTGCTCAGGATCACTCCTTGAGGTGCTCAGGGTTCGACCCCGGGCTGGCCACATGCAAGGCAAGTGCCTTTACTCACCCTTATATGCTCTCTACTCCCCTTACTCAAAGATTTTAGAGGAAGTCAAAGTTTCATCACAGGAGCTGGAGCGATAGCACAGCAGGTAGGTTGTTTGCCTTGCATGCGGCCGACCCGGGTTTGATCCCGGCATCCCATATGGTCCCTTGAGCACTGCCAGGAGTAATTCCTGAGTGCAGAGCCAGGAGTAACCCCTGAACATCTCTGAGTGTGACCCAAAAGGCAAAAAAAAAAGTTTCATCACAGTGAATCTAGTATACTGTGCAGTGGAACACAGATTAGGCAGGAATTGGAAAGATAAAGATGATGCTTTTGGGGCCGACAGCCCTGGTCTGCTTTTGTCCCAGCTCTGCCCTTCATGCCAGCATCCTCAGGTCTGGCTGTGGTCTGGGTTTGGGGCACAGCAGGCCTGTGTCTGTTGTTTATGGTCTGTTGCCGTTTATCCTTACAGTCCTAGGGACTCTGAATCTGGCCCCTGTGCAGTCACCCTTTGTTATCTGGGGGGAGTTCCAGTGGAAACAGCTCAGGGGGAAGATGGAGATGGTACTGGCTGCCTGCAGGGGCCCTGAGTCCTTCACCTTCACCTTCACTTTTTGGAGACCGGTTTCTTGTGTTTTTACTCCCCTAATAGAATTCGACAGAAGGGCCCCTGCTGTATCTATATTTTTTTTCTTTTTGGGTCACACCCAGCGATGCTCAGGGGTTACTCCCGGCTTTGCACTCAGAAATCACTTCTGGCGGTGCTCGGGGGACCATACGGGGTGCTGGGAATTGAACCCGGGTCGGCCACATGCAAGGCAAATGCCCTACCCGCTGTGCTCTTGCTCCAGCCCCTGTATCTTTTTTAATTCTGGGACTCTGAGCTTCTGTAGGAAATGGCTGTCTGTGGCCGGCGGCTGCTTGCCCAAGTGCCTTCCTGTGACCAGGAAGATCGAGAACAACGTCCGGACGAGCCAGCAGAACGAGCCAATGCTCTATTCTGTTTTGGGGGATTTTTGTTTTGGGTTGCACCGACCATGCTCAGGGGTTACTCCTGGCTCTGCACTCAGAAATCAACCCTGCCGGTGCTCAGGGGACCATGTGAAATGTGAGGGATTGAACCCGGGTCAGCCATGTGCAAGGCAGGTGCCCTACCTGCTGTGCTATCGCTCTGTCCCTGTCCCCTATTCTGTTCAGAGCACTGTTGGTGAGTGTTTACCCCCTAGATTCCTTTTAAGGTCGTCGGCTGCTATTGTTTGGTTGTTTGGCTCTGCCGTGAGGACTGCTTTCGTAAGTTTATGTTGGGTAGTGTGTGGGAAGTGAAGGCCGTTTGCTTTTGCTCTTTGCCATTGGAGTGAGTCTCTTTCCTTCACTCTTGTCAGGGTGCACTGGGCTGCCGCTGGGACCGAGGACGCCCGTCCCTTCCCGCTGTAGCCTTGCGGGCTTTGGGTCCTCAGGATCCCTGAGAGGTTCTTTCCTGTTCCAGGCAGCTTCGGTTCCTAAACCAGTTGAAGCTCACCCTCTCAACTTCTGCCGCTCTTACTAACGCTGTTCCGTTTCTTATCCTTCCCGCCATCTCCCAAGCCGGGTAATGCAGCCTCCGAGGTGGGTATGGGCAGCGTCCCAGAGGCAGACGCGGCTGATGCTGTCGGGTTCCTTGTCCCCCCTGACATGGAAGACGATTACGAACCTGAGCTGCTGGTAATACCATCCAACCAGCCGGTCAACCTGCCCATTCTGGCCGCAGCTCAGTCCTTGCACCGGGAAGCCACCAAGTGGTCTAGTAAGGTACTGACTAGCACCCCAGTGGGGCGGCTTCCAATGCATCCGGCCCTGTGCAGCGTGACACAATGCATCACTCATGATCTGTGCAGGCCCTGTGAGTCTGAGGGTGGGCGTCTGTCTGTCTGCACCCGTGGCAGGACTGGCTTCACGAATCCCGGGTCTGCGAATGCCAGATGAATCGAACTGCCTTTGCGCTGAGGGTGGGTGCGCGACTAAAGAGAGATGGGGTCACTCCGGAAGGACTCTTCGCCTCCCAACCTGGGGCCATTGTCAGCACTTGCAGCTGCTCTAAAGCCGTGGTGGTGTCTCTCAATGACCTCCAGGTCAGGTGGCGCCTCTGTGGTCACCTGGCTCGGCCACTGAGCTAGGCCTGCCCGCTGCTTCCCCGCTGACGCCTCACTGCAGGCAGCGTTGATGAGGGCGCGGGGCAGCAGGGTTTCTGCCACAGACCTGCTTGCTGCCCTCACTTGGCTGGCTGTGATGGTGCCCACCGGGCAGGGGGCTTCACCGCCTGCTTGTCTCAGGGATTCTCGTGGCAGGGGTGGCACTGAGGAGAGTGCCTGGGGCCTGGGTGACTGAAGCAGAGCTGGTTCAAGGAGGGGGCTTGAGGCCGGTCACGCTGTGCCCGTGGAAGGTGGCATGAGGGAAGGCTGCAGCCCGGGAATGACTAACCTGGCACCCACTGTCTCCTAACTACGGTCATCACGTCCTGGAATGATTCCGGTTCTGGAAGGGGTGGGCCCAGACGGCCGTGCTGGCCCCTCCCTGTCCTTCTCCACATCCCGGATTTCTCTCTGGTCTAGGTACTGCCTCCCCACGGGAACCACTTGCCACTTCCTGGTGCCCGTGGGTACCGCAGCGCCCTGCAGTGGTGGCTTGGCTCACTGCATCCTGCAGAACCAAGAGCGCGAGGGGCAGGAGAGCTGCTGCCCTTTGAATTCTGAATTTTGCCTCTTTTTGGTGATCAGCCGGGGAAGAGCCTTTAGGGCCATACTGTCAATTCCCTTCTCATGATGCAGGAGGAGGGTTTTAACGCCCATCTACACTAAATTGTTATTAGTCCTAGTGGGCTGTTCTTTTTTAGATTGGACCCGAGTTTTCTTTTCCTGATGCCTTTCCTGGCTTCTTGCCTAAAGATTCCTTTCACTGAAGCCAAGGAAGCTAAGGGAGCTAAGGAATCAATTCTTGTTTTTTTTTTTTCCTTAATGTGAAAAACTGAAAAAAAAACAAAACACCATTCTGTTAGATTCACAAGGCCAGCGAGAGGCAGTCGTGGAGGGAGGGCAGCCATCTAGTTCTGGACATGTCAGTCAGTCTTTTTCTCACCATGGCTGATCCTAGTCACTCGGGTTTGCATCATAGCAGTCTATGGCTGCTTTTGGAAAGGGGCCAGAAATGAGGAGGATGCTTCCAGCACCTGGGCAGGTGCCTCAGGCCAGCTCTCCTGCTTCCCCCCTAGAGAAAGGAAAATGCCTGTTTAGCCAGTGTCTTGGGTCTGTCCTCCTTTTACTGACACGAGTACCCCGGAGATGCTCACTCGTACCCAGGGCTGTGCCTGGGCTGTCTCTGTGGCCTTCCAGACTGATCTCCAGATCTTCCTTTTCGCAGCGGAGAGACTGAACGCTCCTGCTGACTGTCGGGAGCACCCCGGCCTCTTCTCTTTGCTTCTCCCGAGCCAGCACATGGCGAAGCGCAGTCCTTTGTCCTCTTCTCCCTTCCAGAGAGCTGCCTCCCCCTCCTCTGCTTCTCCTTCTGCGGGCTGAGCTCACTCCTTCTCTTCACTTCTCTCTAGGGCAATGACATCATTGCAGCAGCCAAGCGCATGGCTCTGCTGATGGCTGAGATGTCTCGGCTGGTAAGAGGGGGCAGCGGCACCAAGCGGGCACTGATCCAGTGTGCCAAGGACATTGCCAAAGCCTCCGATGAGGTGACTCGGTTGGCCAAAGAAGTTGCCAAGCAGTGCACGGATAAGCGGATTAGAACCAACCTCTTGCAGGTAAGTATTCAGGAAGAGAGAGTGAGAGAGAGACAGAGAGACAGAGACAGGATAGAAAATCCTGGGAGGAGAGAAAGAGGAACTGCAGGGAGGTTGGGAATAGCCAAAAGGGGAAACTTCCTTGTGTATTTGGGAAAGACAGGTTCCAGAGCACGTAGTTGGCTCTTGGAGTGCAAGAATTTAAACACTGGTGTGAATAAACAGTGCCTTCATGTGCCTCAGGGAGGAAGTCCTGCCCTCGGGAGCTCCTGGGCAGAGAAACAGAAACAGTGATTGAAATGTTTTTCCTCTTTAGGTGTGTGAACGAATTCCCACCATCAGCACCCAGCTCAAAATCCTGTCGACAGTGAAGGCCACCATGCTGGGCCGGACCAACATCAGCGATGAGGAGTCCGAGCAGGTGGGTGCTGCTGGCCTCAGCGGTTCTCCAGAGCCGGGTTCTGCCACAGGGGAGCTTCCCCGGGAACCGGGTGTTTTCTGCGTTCTGGTGGGCCTCTGTGGGGCAGTGCGTAAGACTTGGGAGGGAAAGAAACAGAGCTTGCATGACTTTTTACTTCACAGATGGGACACTGAGGGTCAGGGCGTTTAGGGTACTCTCTCTCCCACCCCATCTGTGTGTATTTTCTCTCTTGGGGCCAAGAGCACTTTTTACTCCCTTCTGCAGATATCTGTTTGGCAGCAGAGAATTTCTGCCCCTAGTTCTGTCATACTTGAGTTCCTCAGGGAAGATAAACAGTGGGGAACTTTCTGGGGCTGTGGGTCTGAGGCTAAAACGAGAGCACAACTGAGAGCTGCTTCTCTTTTGGTTTCTTCAGCAAAAGATTCAAAATAAGCATCATAAACAGCTGCTCAAAATGATCTTCATGTTGGTCCCTTGGCAAACATTTCCTAGAATTGTCCTTCCTTTCCTCCTGGGAATATGGACTAAGGTTTCTTTCAGTGAACCCTCACGGGAGTGTCCTTTTTCCTGAATTCCATCCTGGGAGGCTCTGCTGAACAAGAATTTGGGTTTCTTCTTGTTGATAGGGATGCTAGCGTACCTGTTGAGCTGTTTCACAGGCAGCGTTTTGTACATGGGGTATGGATGAGGCAGTGGATTAAGATGTTAAAATTTTAGTTTCTGCTCTTGGGGGGGACCATTTCTATCCTCTCCACTCCAGGACACGAGGGCGGGGGCACATTAAGGAGACACAGAGGTTGTTCTTGGAGGGAATGTTGCTGGCTCACTACCTGGTTCTAATCCTTCTCCCAAAACACAAAAAATGGATTTTTCTCCTCTTACTTGCATGTACATTGGGCAGGGGTTGGAGCACTAGAAGCTGTTTCCTGTCATGCTCTTTCTTCTGCCCAAAAAGAAGAGGAAAAAACAGGAAAGGAGAAATAAGGGGTTTAAAACTTATCATTTCAACAGTCAACTGACCAAAAAAGTGCATCTTGGGAATATCTATTATATTTAATTTAAACATTTTTCACAGCTGATGGTGGATTAATCCCTGATACTAAGTAGGGTCCCTGATACTAAGTATGGACCCCCTCCCTGAGCACAGAGCCAGAGAGTAAGGATGTAGCCTCAAAATAAAAACAAAAAGAATCAAACAAATGGAAGAAGGTAGAAATTGATAGTGTGGTAGAATGAGAAAAAAGAACTGCAAGTCAGAAGTGTTCTGTGGTAGAGACCCAGTTCTATTGGTGTTCTCAGCTATTTACTTAGATTTTCATGAAATTATAAGTGATTGGTTTATTTTTTTGATTCAATACTATGAAATACCTCCAATGTGCCTAACTTTGCTACTCAGCAGCAAACAAATCTGAGAAAAATCTCTCTCCTCCTGGAATTTAGATTTCAAGTCAAATCAGATAAATAGACTGAGGAGACAGTTAAGACGTCATCACAGACTGTCCAGGCTCCCATACTGCTGGGTAAAAAAGGGTCAACATGCAGATCACTCAGGGGGCTGATGACCCCCAAGTAATGCACCGGGGGTAGCCCCTGTTCCCTGAGCACCACTGGCTGTGACCCAAACGCCCAGATGTAAGTAACTAACCATCGGGTGCATTGTTCAGTGCTGATGGTGAGGGGTGAGCCATGGGATACCTGGGAGAAAGAGTCCTCGACAGAGGAGACGGCAAGAGTCCAGGGCTTGTCTGTCGGCCAGGAGAGGCGAGTCTATGCTCAGCAGGGTCTCAGCCACACCTGCAGATGGACAGCTGACCCCCGCAGCGATTCCGACCCCCTGAGATAAAGCAACGATAAGAGGTGGCAGGTCCCGTGAGGGTGACATCCAGCAGGACAGGTGGCGGTGTGTGTGTGTGTGTGTGTGTGTGTGTGTGTGTGTAACAGAACGCTTGCTCCTGTTTCTGCGCAGGCCACAGAGATGCTGGTTCACAATGCCCAGAACCTCATGCAGTCTGTGAAGGAGACCGTTCGTGAAGCGGAAGCAGCTTCAATCAAAATCCGAACAGATGCTGGGTTCACACTGCGTTGGGTTCGAAAGACTCCCTGGTACCAATAAGCACGTGCTCGAACCGAGATGGCCAGAGCCCCACTAAACAGAATGAAATGCCCCGAGGCCCGGAGCCGTCCAGAATCGCTGGGGGCTCAACAAACCCCATTCTGGCTTGACCTAACAGAAAGGAAAAGGGCTTCTTCACACTAGGAACATTTATTCTCTTGTTATGGACCCTCACAGCGTCTCTGCATAAGCCTGTTCTCTCACGCACACTGCCTTGGTGGTGGCGCGGTGGCGCCGTGGACTTCACGTGAGCTCCGAGCCCCAGTGAACACTAACTAGCCCTTGCTCTGCTCCCTTCCCTCACCCACCCGTCCCGCCAGACAAGGAGGATCTGGGGCGCAGTTCGGAGGAAATCACTGGGCCTCCAGTTGTTTTGGGCTTTCACGCCGTGCCACTGAGGCCCCTCTTGGAAGAGCTTTGCTTGCTCCGGAGAAGGTGGTCTCTGGAGCCCCCACATTTGCAGCCCACTGCAGTCCTACCACAGTACCAGCCAGACTTGCTCCTGGCAGAGTGGGGCGCAATCCTGGGAGTCTTTTTCCTGTGCCCCGGAGCAGCATCTGTGCTAGGGGTGCTGTGCAATCCTGCTTAGTCCGCCCCCCACCCCCAAGGCAGCCAACCCACAGGGACGCTCTGCGTGCTGGTGCTTTCTGCTCTGAGGCAGCCGGGCCCAGCGCCTCGCTGCCCGCAGAGGCCTGTGCTGAGGCCTTATCACTCACTCTTAGTTTGTGTTGTTCTTTTGGAGCTGAAATGCATTTTATCAGGTAAGCAACTCTACAGATATGCTGAGGGCCTTGAAAGTAATCTTCATCAGGTCAAAGGAATAAAGGAAGCCTGTGAGTACAGTACCAACTTAAGACAAGCTTTTTACATGTGCGTTGCATTTAATTTTTAACCAAATCGTGTCTCCTAGCTTTTGTTGGACTCCCTGCTTCCCCGTGTTTGTTCAGCTGTCCTTGTGAGACACCTGTTTGATCCCTGGGAAATTTCAGTCCTGCAAATTGGTGCTTGCCTCCCCCTAAGTATCGAATGCACTGCTGCGGGTGACCCTGTCCCAAGGACACTCCTGACCTAAGTGGGAGCACTACACAGCCTGGAGGGAGTCCATGGAAGCAACCCTCACTTCTGCCCCCCCCTTCCCCCAGCCCACTGCAGCTGCATTCACAGCCGCGCCTCCCCCTGACTGTGCAAGAGAATTAGGCTTATTTTTTCATCACCACCACAGTATGTTTCTATGAGCAAAAAGCAGTTTCTCCCTTTTCTGTACTTTTCACTGCTGTAAGCATTCCCCAGCACATGAAACTTTTTCTTCCCAAAGCCAGAAGCAGATGAATAAAGAAGAACCCCTGCCCGAATGTCTCTCTCCCCAACACACATGTAAAAACCTTGTCTTAAGTTGGTACTGTACTCTCAGGCTTCCTTTATTCCCTTTGACCCGATGAAGATTACTTTCAAGGCCCTCAGCATACTTGTAGAGTTGCTTACCTGATAAAATGCAACATTAATGCCTTTAAAGTAAGAATCTATGCCAAAGATCATCTTTTGTTTTACTGAAGATTAGTTAGAAGAAAGAAGAAAAATCATGTTGCTCTCCAAGTTCTTCCAGCGTATCGAGACACTGGCTTATACTTCATGCTGATGTACTTTTCTCTAATATCAGTGCTCAAGGCATAGTAAAGCAAATTGGTGGGTGGAGTTGGGCGTAGGGAGAACCATCGAACAAGTAGACATCGCCACTAAAAAACAACAACAAACTACATTTATATCCTAGTATTTGTTATATGGAAATATTTTCTGCCTCTTCTTCTGTTCTGTTTAAAACTAAATAAAGTGCATTTGTATAAATAATGTCTTAAATGGTTGGTGTTATTGTTGTAAAAATTCTTCTTACAGGTTTCTTCTGTGTTTCAGGATTAACCATTAAAACTAATTTGCAAGATATGGAAACTAAAGATCCAAATTGCATTTAATCCAAATGTGGCAGCACGTGTTTTATTATTTTTTAAGAAGTGGTATGTGTGTGTGTGCGCGCGCGCAGATTCTGTCTCTTTGATATGGAATAGAACGTGGGCATCACTGTTTTTGCCTGACTTCCTAGTCAGAAGGGGTAGTATCATCATAGACAAGAGAGCTGCTGACTGTATTTTCTCACTGCTTTAACTTTATTTTTTTCTGGTGTTGGGCCACAGCTGGCTATGCTCAGAGTTTACCCTTTGTTGGCTCAGGGCACCATTTGGAGTGCTGGGGCTCGAATCCAGGTCTGCGGCATGCTATCTAAGTGTCCTACGTGCTGTATATATGGATGGCCCCATCACTGCTTTAACTTTAAAAGTTGCCGACTAGGGAATCAGATTCCAGCCTGCTTGGGCTAAAGGGAAATGCTCAAGACAAATGACTTAGCTCAGTAATACCTGGAAATTGCTCATGGTATTATTTCTTCCACTTTCTGTAGCTACTGGTGCTACCTTGCTGCTACTTTCACGGTTGAGTTTTCTCAAATCAGAAGATCCTTAAGGTTAAATAAAGCCGCATCTTCTAAGCATCCTTCAGAAACATCTCTAGGAATCTCACAAATTTCTTTTAACTAAAATGATTGTGATTCCTGGGCTAGAGAGATAGTACAGCAAGTAGGGCTTCTGCCTTGCATGCAGCTGACCCGGGTTCGATCCCCAGCATCCCATATAGTCCTCCGAACACTGCCAGGAGTAATTCCCAGGTACAGAACTAGGAGTAATCCTTGAGTACGCTGGGTATGGCCCCATAAAGTAAAAGAAAATGATTGGGATTTTTTAAAAAAGGTTTTGGGCCACACACGGTGAGATTCAGGGATTACTCCTAGCTCTGTGCTCAGGAATTACATCTGGAGAGCGTGGGGGACTACATGGGATGCTGGGGATTGAACCCTAAACCGGCTGCTTGCAAGGCAAGTGCCTTAATGATGTCTCTCTAGTCCTGTTTGTGATTAAAAAAAAAAAAAAAAAGAAGAGCATTCACTCTGCTTGCTCTAAGACTTTAGAAAGCAGAAGGTCAGGCCATAGCTCCAGGTGGGGCACATACCCAGCATGTTCGAGGGCCTGAGTGACAGCTGCACCAATACCCCTCCTGCCCAGCACTGCAATGGGCCCTCAGAGCTCGGCTGGGTAGCCCTTATGAGGAAAAAAAAATTTAGAAAACGGGGCAAGTCCGGGATCAGCTGTAATTATGTGATTGAAAAACAGTTCAGTGATACTGTGTTCATAGGAAGTGGCAGTAGGGAGAGTAACCTCACCTGTGGCCAGAGAGTGAAGTTGCGAGCAAGTGTCCTCAGCTGTTCACACAGTGAGCTCATGTGAGCAGGACCTTGCAGAAACTCTCAGACCTTGGGCCAGATCTTTATCAAGTTTAGCCTTTAACGCTTTGTCAAGTTTAAACTGCTCGGACACTGACACATGCCCATCTACGAATGCTCTTAATAAAAATTCAGTGATTGCTTTAATTTTTTCTTTTATTGACAGTATAGCCAGAGCTAAAGAAAGAACTTACTGGATTCAATCAAATTAATAAATACAATAATTTAACTGTAAAAGGACATAGTTTGCTTGAAAATTTTAGCAGAAAATGCTAAAAGCCAGGGACTCTTGGCATACAATCTACTTGTATATAAGTGAGGACAGCACAGAAGGAAAACTGAATGTTTTAGATGAGGAATTTTCCAGAAAGAAAAGCAAATAGACTGACAGCTCTTTTGAGGAATGAACTCTGAGGAGTGGAACATTAAAAATGAGAAGCAATGAACTGGGTAACCAACCATAGGCAAAGGAAATAGATATTTGGCAACATCACGATTTTTAGTTGCCAAGCTGATACCCTAGAAATGTTAAAAGTGGTGAAGTGTGCCTTTTTCTGTGAGGAGGCACGCTGAGTGCCCTAGGCAGGCAAGGTAAGGATGCTGCTTACAGCGGGCTCTCACCAAGAACCATTAGCCCTTGAGAGCAGGAGACAGACCATGACACGCTGAGAAGAATGAAAAGAAATGGAGTTCCAAAGAGAAGAGAGTAGAATTAAGAACAAGAAGGAAACCCGGAGGCAAGCACTTCTATCTTAACTTTCAGCCTTTACCCATTCTTCATGCCCAGTGAGGCAACCTACATGAGCAGGGTAACAGACCGTGAAATGGAATGACCGACCGACACAGCATGATGATACCAGGAACTGAGGATTTTGATTCTGCTTCCACAGAATGTCTTTTAAACACACAGTCAGGTACAGACATTTAAGTATTCCAGCTTACTATTGATGACAATAGTTTCAGGAGGGGGTATATTGACTACAGATTTGGTAACGACCACCAAAAAAGAGGAAAGAAGAGAGTTTCAAAAATTTGAAAAAAAAAAAAATGGACAGGCTGACACGTTTGCTCCTTTCACTGAAAGGCACAAAGCCTTTGGGCTCACATGGTTTATGTGGTGTTGGATAAGCTCGATAAACATGAAGATAGCAAAGGGTCACTTAAATATCTCTTTTACTACTTTAATCTGCTTAAAATCTCAAATGCTTGTGCTTGCAATAACTTCCTAAAAGCAGAAGTAGTGTTCCCTTTTTATTATCTTAATAAGCATTCATCTCTTTGATATAAATTATTTTCAGTGTGCTAACAGCAGAACTGGTGGCACAAATTGAGATGGTACTTAATTCAGCAAGGTCCCTACAAATCAGTATCTGAGCTTTACGTAAAAATCTTATTTATAAAAAATACAATACCCAATACCAAGTACAGTGAGGATGGATCCTGGTGCTGCAGCGCTCCCTGCCAGGGTCGTGGAGTGGCTTCTGCTACAGTGCTTGCTTAATGGCACGAGTGAAAAGCTGAATAAGGCAAACACTTCGAAGAGGCAGTTTTCTGTAAACTTTTGGGGGTAGGGGGAATTTCCTCTGCGGGGGCAAATGCTAACTAGGGGTGGCTAAGATCAGGTGTGATATTCGGCTGCACCTGCCTGTTCCATTAAGGATGATGACGACTGCTAGGTGAGGTGAGCTCCCTGGTGCTGGGAGACGGCATCACCGAGGCACTCTGCCCACATAGTTCTCACGGCGGCTCGAGCGGGTGCCTCCCCCCACACTCCCTTCCCCAACCTCATGGAGGAAATTACCTCTAGAATCTTCTAAGTGAAAAGATACAAAATAAGCTAAGTCATTGAAAAGTCTTCTTAGCTTAAAGCTCCTTAAGAACCCTAGTCTGATTAAGCAACTCTGTTATGTTAGCGGAGTGTAGCCGGACACAAATGCTTGAACTAGAATATGTAATTCCCACCCACTTGGTACCTAATAGTTTTAAACTGTCATGACACTTGGAAAACAAAGAGATCTTGAGGAATTTTGGCATCTTCTCATGTCCTCACTTGGAACTTTCCAGCTTTCGTAACGTATTTGACTCCTTTAAATGGCTTATATTTCTCCCCATACATGTCCAAGCGGTTTACTTTCAAGCCTGCATCAAAAAAGAAGAGGTAAAAGGTCAATTATTCCCCTAGTCACACCTACCGACACAGTATTTGTTTAAAAATGAGCAATGCAGGTACACTTGCCGCATCTCCGGTTAAGACGTGAACTTTCTTATCTTAGGGCACATTTCCGCATCCTAGGGAAAGGGCCTGCACATCTGGTTTGGGATGTGTACTTTGCTTTAGACACTTTGGAGCAGCTGGTATTCTTTTGAGAACGTATCTTTAGCTCTTTTCCTCCCTCCCTTTACTTCTCAAATTATTTTATACTTAAAAGAACAGAAACCAAGTAGTGAGCAATGCACAGTAAAGTTGTAGACCCTTTGCGGCTCAGTGAGAGCCCGCCCGTGGCGGCACGGTTTCCGGGAGCAAGCCATGTCTTTTAAGAACAGTTCTCATGTCTGCAGCTATGGGTGACTTCTCGGTGCTTTCACGCCGTGAAAGGGAGGAGATGAAGGGAGAAGGGAGGAGACGAAGGGAAGCTCTCCAAAATCACTAGCCTCTGAGCACAGCCGTGTGCCAAAGGGGAACGAGAAGCAGTCCTTTTTCTAGAGACAAACATCAGTTGCCCTCCGTGCTCGGGTAATTGACTTCAGTGACACCCTTAGGAATAGTCAAGCTTGCACGCACCTGAAATAGCGAGCTGCTGGATCTTGAACTGTATGTTGAGGCTTGGGTTCTCTTCTGGCTTGGGTGCTCCGGACTGTAAGTTTACCAGTCCTTTAAGACTTGGGAGCTTTTGGGGAGTAATTTTTCCCACATCCCACGTCAGTATCTTAAAATGACAAAAAAAAAAAAAACAGTCCGAATCAGCTATTAAAGATAGACATTCAAAGATAAAGGTTCAAGGAGACACCACACACTTCCATAGTAAATACAGACAAATGAGGTAAGGATCTCGGAAACAGGACACCTGGGCTGTACAGGGCTTCATCACTCATGAGCTCTGTGTCTTTGCGGTGTGCGGATGAGAAGCAGCATTAGTGGAACACCTACTCTGGATACAGCGCTGCTTACAGGCCCATTTCACGGAGGCTGTGGTGGCGCCTTTTTCCCTCCCTCAGTGCTGGGGGCTGAACCTGGGGCCTTTCACACGCACAGCTAGTGCTTTACCCTCACCTGAGTTTTTATCCTTTATACAAAGGAGGAAATTAAGGCTCAAAGATTAAACAACTTGCTCAAATTCATACAGCAAGATTGGGATTTGAGCAGAGGTTATCTGATTTCTAATTCTTTTTCATTTTATCTTTTTTAAGTTTTTGGGCAAAACTGGGCACTACTCAGGGGTTACTGCTAGGTCTGGCTCTGCACTCAGAAATCTCCTGGCAGTGCTCAGGGAACCATACTGGATGGTGGGGACTGAACCTGGGTTGGCTACATGCAAGACAAGTGCTCCACCCACTATATTATCTCTCCAGGACCAACAAATTTTTTTTCTGATGTACCAGCTTCACTGTTTCCTCTGGGCCTCAGTTTATTTTTCTGATCTAATTGCCACTTTTAAGAGTTTGCTCTGCCGTGCTTTGCTCAGATGGAATGGGTGGTGTGGAAGCTCAGGGACAAGTAAGAGGTGAGGCTGTGATGCGAGGAGTCGGGTGTGAGCACCTGCCTCCCATCACAGCCTGCAGTCTCGTCCCTGCCTCAGGACTGCACTAGTTGCTACTGCAGTCTATGATTTTATTTTTAGAATAGACTTTTACACTTCGCAGGCAATTCAATGACTGCTGTTGGAAATAATCTTGAAAAACCAAACAAGTGCCGACCTGGTTCAATCCCCAGCATCCTATGTGGTCCCCCCAAGACCTCCAGGACTAGTCCCTGCAGATTCAGGAATAAGCCTTGAGCACAACCAGGTGTGGCCCCATAGCAAAAATAAGGAGTGTGTTATAGGCAGCACGTGGAACACCTGTCTTACATATAAACCGCCCAGGTTCAACCGAGAGGAATGGCACATAGTCACCCAAGCACCATGTGACCCCTGACCACTGATGAAGGGATGTGTGTTGAACCCTGAACACCTGAAAATCACAAATATCTTTGTAACTTTGCAATTCATGGTGATTAAAAAAGTATTTAAAAAATTCTGATGTATCAAAAAAAACCCAACAACAACAACAACAACAACAAAACTCCAAGCAGGGGGCCACTCCCATCGGTGGTCAGAGGCCATGTGGTGCAGCAGATCAAACTGGGGTTGTTACGTGAGGCAAACACTTTACCCTGTACTATCTCTTCAGCAACGCAAATCACCCTGTAAGAGTTTCTCTGTAAACCCTTTGCTAACTGCATAGCTGTGCAGGGCAAAGAAGCTGCTTCCCAAACCAGTGAAGACATGAAGATGGAAGAGTAGAAACAAAAATCCTTTATATTAGAAGGAAAAGGAAGTGGTGACTTTTAAATTTTTTTTCTTTAATCATGTTTTTGGGCCACACCTGCTCTAGGCTAACTCCTGGCTCTGCACTCAGGAATCACTCCTGGTGATCCTCAGAAGACCATATGGGGTGCTGGGCTCAGCTGTGTACAAGGCAAGCACCCTATCCACTGTACTATCTCTCCGGTCCCGGGAAAAGATAGGATTTAATACTCAATTTCTCGAGAAAATGTAAAACTGTGTGGGCTACACTAAGTTCTTACTCCACACAGCACTGCTCTGGCCTGGAAAGTGTTACATCATCAGAGTATGCGTCAGTCTGGCGGTGTGCAGGAGAAGGCCACTGTAAGGGGCGGGGCGAGGCACACACTCATCTCCCGGGCAGTGCAGGGGGCAGAGAACATGGCCCACTTCACTCTCACGGTTTGCCAGGCCCTTTACTGAGTTTTTAGGGGCCATTCCTGGGTGGTGCTGTGGGCTGGGGGCACCGCCGGAGCCTCTTGGGGGCAGGAGTCAAACTCTGGGGTCCCACATGCTGAGCTCGTGTTCTGCCCCTGCAGCTACATCCCTGCTGCTCAGAAACTGGTTTTTAGCAAACACTAAGCACTTCTCTCTGGCGTCCACATTCTCAAATCAAAGATTTGCCAAACACCAACTGCAAGAACACTGGCTCACTTGTGACGAGGCGGCTGTACCTTGGTGACTGGGTCAAACGTGTAGCTGCCTTGTGTTGGTGTCAGGTTCATGTTCAGCACGACCTTCGGCATGTGAACCGTCACTGTGATTCCTTCGATAGTTTTCCCCATATTCTGCTTCGGACCGATCGTAACATCAAATCTGCCACAAGAACTGTTCTCCTTAAAGCTGATGCTATGTTTCACATACACGGGTATTGCAACTAGACTGAAAAGAGGAAAACAAAGACACATGTGCACAAGACTGTAGTATGGAATAATTCCAGAAGTGCAAGTTCTGCATCTGTGCCAGGGCCCCGGAATACAGCATGCTGTTGGGTTCCACAGTACTAGGAATCACACAATTTCTCTCTTAAGGATTTTGGCCCCACGTCAAGTGGTGCTGAGGGGCACTTCCTGGCTCCCAACGTGCTCAGGGATCACTCCTAATAGTCCTTGGGAGACCATGTGATATGGAGATTGAGCCAATACCAAATAATGCATGCAGGGCAAGGGTCGTAAGCCCTATACTACCTGGTAACCCACAGGAATTATATATCTTCTAAGCAAAAAGTACACAAATCAAGCTAGACATCTGGAAATTATAATAAACAATTGGGGCAAACAGCCTTAAAGGAATTAGAATCCCACAGAAAGATTATTTAAAATTATAAACTAAATAAAGCAGTTTCTATGTGAAAGAAGAAAAAATTCCTTTGCTTTTACATCCTGTACAATATTATAGAGATTCTTCTGATTTTGTTGGTTTTTTTTTTGGGGGGGGGGGGCGGGGGGAGGTCAACCTTGCAGTGCTGGAGAGTACTCCCAGCTGTGCTCCGAGTACTGTATGCAGTAATAGAATTGAACCTGGGTTGGTCATATGCAAAGCAAGCACCTTAACCTCTGTACAATCGCTTGTCCCTCATTTTCCTGATTTTTTAAAAGGACACACTAGCTATAACACACATCCATAAATAATTTAAACCACAAGCAGAGAAGAGTAGCTGGACGTCTGTTAGCTGGGGAATGACTTGGGGAACTACCTGTTTCCCTCTGCTTGACAGGAAGACAGAAAATAATGTCATGCATTCACAGTTTTGCTTCAGAAATGCATGGTTCCCAGTGCTTTCTTTGAGGCACATAACTTGCCTGTAGACTCATTCACTAGTGCTCTATACTCTTAAGCTAGATATATATTTTCATCAACCCTTCCTGAATTTCCTGGTGAGGCACGGCTAAAGGGAACAATGGTGAATCCCAGTGTCCAACCGAGAGTCTGCCGGGAAAGGTTAGTTCTGCCCAGCACAATGATGTGAGATGGCAGAGGCCGGGCAATGCATCAACATACTTTTGTGAGCTGACACGGTATGATATGAGCCGGAAATTGCCATCTGGAGGAATAAATGACAAAACCCTTTCAGATTCCCAACGTTTGAACCGGATACATGGGTGGAAGCTGACATCATCCAAAAGCCGTGGATTCTGCCAGAAAAACAGAAAATAGTCACAGAGCAAAATGGAGATTATAATTCACTCAGGTATTAAGAGAAACAAGTACGCACCCTAAAAATAAAGAAGTCAGCTAAAGTCCCCACTATGACCATGTCAACATAATCTCGTGTTCTATAGTACTTTGAAGTTTGATGGGGGTTGGGCTTTCCAGCAGTACTCGGGAACCCTGGTGGTGACTCTTGCTGACATTCGGTCAACTGGGCTGGTGGCCTAATGTGAGGTCCTGAAACGTGGTGCTGCTCGAGCCCTGCAGTGCTAGACCACTAGGGTCATCCTGATGGCACCTATGGGACTCCAGGGCCAAGAGATGATTCTTAGGAGGTCATGTGAAGCTCTGGGGGGCAAGGCATGCACCCCAACCCTGCATCTAATTCTGTAATGTAGCTCATGAAAATATTTCCGATACATTACTTTATTTCAATTTCAAAATCTCTATAATGCAAAAATCATACTTGATTGATATCCATTTCATAGACGGAAAAACTGAGGTTCAAAGAACTCCAAGTCAGGGAGATGGCTCAGCGGCTGGAGTGCACTGTGCACGTGCCGGGAGAGACCCCTCAGTCCAGCACTGTGAGTAGCCCAGAGCACTGAGGGGTGTGGCACAAAATCCAAACAAAAACAACTGAAGTCCGGAGAAGTTAATGGCAAAGGCAGCATCAGAACTCAGCAGCTACTGTGCCTGATGCCAGTGATCAATGCTTCTTCAAGTCAGCAAAACAGTAATATGACTCAGACATGCAGAGGCCGGCCAACTAGCACGTCGCTCCCCATTCACTGAGCCAAAGACTTCTCTCATCAACCTGGAGGCTACGGTCATCTTTTCTTTTTCTTCTTAAGGGGGTGGGGGAGGAAGAGAAAGGGAGAGAGAGAGGAGAGAGAGAAGAGACAGAGAGGGGGAAGAGAGAAAGAGAGAGAGGAGAGAGAAGAGACGGAGAGGGGGAAGAGAGAAAGAGGAAGGGAGAGAGGAAAGAAGAGAGGAAGAGAGAATGAGAAAGGGAGGGAGAGAGGGATAAAGGGAGCGAGCGAGAGAGTGCAGTGTACTCAACAGACTGAGTATATGCTTTGCACGCTGGAGGCCCAACTTCGATCCTCAGTCTCACATGCTCCCCTGAGCACTGCCAGAAGTGATCCCGAGTGCAGAGCTGGGAGTCGTCCCTGAGCCCTGCATATGGCCCAAAAACCGAGGACAAAAAATTTTCACTACAATTTAAAAAATTTCAAAATTTATAAGTCTATAAATGTACCTCATGGTGTTTCACTAATTAAAAAAATGATTAAATAAAAAAAATAAAATGAAGAAGAGATAAAAAAAACAAAAAAAAATAAAATACAAACCTAATAAAGATTTCAATGTAAAAAAAAAATTTTTTTAAATTTCTCTCCTTTTTTTTGTTTCTGTGACTTCAGCAGGCAAACACACTTGGCTGTGGTGCTTGCACGCCTTCAGCTGGGGTGCTCTTTGGGGCTCTCACGTTAGTTGTCATTCCTGCACACACCTGGTTGTGGTGCGATGGAAATCACACAATTCACTGCAGCATCAGGGACCTCAAATGGCAGCGTCACCTTAGTATGTGGGTGCAGGGCATGGAACATGAAACTCTGCACCTGCCGAGAAGGTGATCTAAACTGAGCTATCCCTGAGCCTCTTTAAGAAAGTACAAATAAATCTCAGTATTTATGACTTCATTTAGTAGTCCGTACAGAACAGGAGAAAAAGCTTACCATGAAAGAGAGGGAAAGGTCAGGCATTCCGGACAGCTTAATGCAAGCATCTATGACACCCTGAATCTCTGCAAACACTGTAGATCCTGAGAAAGGAGAATGAAAAATGATGACATCAATGGAATGGCCTCTTCACTCCGGCTCTCACTCTACCTGAAATAATGGAGACAGCTCCTTGGGACAGTGCTCAGGGGCCATACCTGGGAATCATAGTCAATGTCAAACACAAACCACCGTCACAGCCCATAGCTGCATACAAGGCAAGTGCTTTAGCCTTGTACTAGCTTTTCCATCCTTTGTGTATCTCTTAACAGGACAGAGGACCTGTTACAATGTTTCAGACATCCTCACTTAGATATACCTAACTCTGGTTGAAACACGGCAATTCTAACAAAAACTTAAATCTTGTCTCAATCTTTCCTTTTTTAAAGTTTATGGGTCACACTTGGCGATGCTCAGGGATCACTCCTGGCAATGCTTGGGGGAATCATATGGGATAACAGGGATGAATCCAGCTTGGGCAAGTGTCCTACCTGTTAAGTCTCTCTAGCCCCTCTGTCCCCCTTTGCTTTTTTTTACAAGGAATTATTTATTTTTATTTAGTCACTGTGTAATTACAAAGTTATTCATGATTGGGTCTCAGACAATGATTCAACACTGTTGCTGAGGGTTAAAGTGATCAGACTCTATCACCTCTCAGCCCACCTCCTCCTCCCGTTGAATGCTTCCCTCCATCAGACGTTGTCCCTTCCCTGTCCTGTCCTCCAGCCCCTCAGGTGGCCTGTTTCCTACTGCAGGCCAGTCCACCTGTTCTTTGTTTCCGTTGTCTTTGGGTATTCTATTCCCATTACACTCCCTTATGCCTTGTAGATGAGGGAGATCGCTCTGTGTCCCTGCTCTCCCTGACTAACTTCACTCAGCCTGATACTCTCCAGGCCCTTCCGTGGAGCAGCAAATTGCATGACTTTATTCTTCTTAGGGTCGAGCAATATGGTGTATACGTAACCATAGCTTCTTCATCCAATCATCTGTTCTTGTCTGTCCCCCTTCTTGTGTTTTTGTTTTTTTTTCTTCTGGTCACACATGGTAGTGCTCAGGAGTCACTCCTGCCTCTGCACTCAGGAATTAACTCCTGGCAGTGCAGGGGTGGACCATATGGGATGCTGGGGGCCAAACCTGGTCCAGCCTCATGCACAGCAAATGCCCTACCCACTCTGGCCCTCCCACCTGTAAGAGTCAACCTTAAAACATAGTTGAGGACTGGAGATATAGTACAGTGGGTAGGGCGTTTGCTTTGCATGTGGCCAACCCAGGTTCAATCGCTGGCACCTTATATGGTTCCCTGAGCAACACCAAGAGTAATTCCTATGCACAGAGCAAGGAGTAAAATCCTGAGCATCACTAGAGTGATCCAAAAACAAAAACAGAAAAAAAAAAATCGATTTTTTTTTTTAAAGGCACCTTCCCCCTACTTTGTTTGGGGAGGTGGGTTGGAGGGGACTTGGACTACACCTGCTCAGGGGCTATTCCTAAGTCTATAATTAGGAATGACTCCTGGTGGTGCTTGGGAAGTCATATGTAGTGCTTGGGATGTAATTTCTCTAACCATTTTTTTTTAATTAAATTATTATGGGCCAGAGAAGTGGTACAGAGATTTTGGTTCTTGCTTGCTTGCTTTGTATGCAGCTGACCCTAAATTGGTCTCCAGTGCCACACTTTATCATAAAATGGTAGCAAAAGTATACAGCATATGGTAAGTAGACAAAAAAGTGTTAAAATAAGTGACAAGAGGGAAAAGTATATTGGGTAATAAGAAACTTAAATCAAGGCAGCATGAGATACAGTCTACTGAAGTTTGAGAGAGCTCACTAATGACTGTGAAAAAACATGTAACTTCCAAACAAAATAAAGATTTAAAGAATCTTAAGAAAATAAATGCCTTTTTGCTAAATCTGGATTGTCAATGGATTTTCATTATCTATTCAGCTAAGTCAGCTGAACTGTTTGTCCCAAATATAAACACACGCACACACACACACAAACGCGCGTGCACACACACACAATTTACCTGATTTATCTATAATTGCATCGATTTCTTCAACGACATCAAAATAGGCTTCATTGTTTGTGTATTTTACCCCTGCCCGGCGCCAGGGGATATTGGACAGCTGACCAGTGGGGAGCGTGTCCCCAACATTACTACTACCTACAAATCAGAAAAGGACAAAGCAAAGTTAACACATAAAATGGTCATTTGAAAATTTACTTAAAAAAAAATAAAAATTTACTCCTTTAATGTTTTGCTTTTCTACATTGGGGCGGTAAATGGTTTTCCAGAATCCTCTGAGACATATTCATACCTACATGATCAGCTTCTAGAAGCCATACGACTCTCTGTCAAAGCAGTTGAATGCATTTATGTATTTTTTGCTTCCTGTGCGGGCTGGAGTGATAGCACAGCGGTAGGGCATTCGCCTTGCACGCAGTGAACATGGCCGACCCAAGTTCGATTCCTCTGCCCCTCTCGGAGAGCCCGGCAAGCTACCGAGAGTATCTCACCCGCTCGGTAGAGCCTGGCAAGCTCCCCGTGGTGTATTCGATATGCCAAACACAGTAACAACAAAGTCTCACGATGGAGAAGTTACTGGGCCCGCTCGAGAAAATCAATAAACAACAGGAGAACAGTGACAGTGTCAGTACTTCCTGTGTGCTTACAGTAACCTAACCTAATTCCAACTGCTCAACAACTGAATCTTAACCTTCTGCCACTGATTAAAAAAAAAAAAGAGGCTGGTCATTTCAAAGCACTTGGCTGATTTAAAAAAAAAAAAACAACAACCCTTTGTGGAGACTATAAAACCCTTTCCTGAGACTATGGAATGATAACCAAGTCTTCTGGTATCCAATTCAAGTTCTACAGGAGATACTGTTAAATCCAGCATCACTCATTACTCATGAGTAACTGGATGAAGAACAAAACCATTCTAATGCTCTTTTACAGTTTTCAAAAAGGCTTTCTCCATTTTAAAGTCAGCACACCCTACAGCATGGTCAAAGCTAAATGGGGAATTACCCAATAAATTGATATACACCTGAAAATAATTCTGATGATCCAAAACATAGAGAACTTAAGCTGTGACTTATCTAAATTTTGGTTAATTTTACATTTCCAATTCAAAAGTAATAGGTATAGACAACAACAAAAGTAAAATGTGGAGAATGTATCACAGTGGCTAAAAGGAATATATCTCCCTATACTAAAATACAATTATCATTACTGTTGTTGTTGGATATTTTTCTTTTTTTCTATTGTGGTGCTGGGAATTGAACCCCCAGGCATCACACATGCAAGACAAGTGCTCGGGCCACTGAGCCATATCTTTGGCTGTCGTATGTCTCTTTGAATAACCCTACATAGGTTGCACTTGTTTTTTCTATTTTAAAAAATTCTGCCTTTTAAAAAATCCTAATTATACTTTAAAATACAGTTGTATACTCATACCATCTATACAGTCGTACAGTTTTGTTGTCTAATTATCGTTGGTGTCTTGTCTCCAATGTACCACTTTCCAGAATATTCTGAAAACATGCCTTAATTATCCTGTTCAAATCCTTCTGTGTTTCCCCACTTTATGATAAAAGCAAAATATTTACTTTGAGAAGCTACATCTGGCAATGCTCAAGGGTTACTCCTGGCTCAGTGCTCAGAGATCACTAACGGCAGGGGATCAAATGCAGGTTGGCTGTGTGCAAGGCACGTGCCCTAAAAGCAAAAATATTTAATCTAGTATTCCAGGATGCCCTTGATTTAATTTTGTTGGGGGGATAGGGGCTTTTTTTGGGTCACACCCGGTGATGCTCAGGGATTACTCATGTCTCAGGAATTAATCCTGGTTTTCTTCAGAGGACCATATGGGGTGCTGGGGACTGAACCAGGGTGGGCTACGTGCAGTCAAACGCCCTATCTGTTACTATCACTCTGGACCCAATTTAACTTTTTTATCTTTCCCTAGTCAATTTAAAAGTAGGTCTGCTTCTGCTAAACTGATCTATCACTATTATAGTATTTTTGCTTTGGGAGCTCAGGCCTTACTCCTTGCTATAGGAGCAGGGATCACCTGGCACTCAGGGATCACTCTTGGCCTCTTGGCAGTTATTTGGGCAACTGTATGTGGTGCTAGGGATCAGTTCTGGGTTAGCCATGTGCAAGGCAAGCACCCGACGTGCTGTATGATCGCTCCAGCTCCCAAACTGATGTTTGTTTCTGGGCCACACCCAGTGATGCTAAAGGGTGACTCTTGGCTCTGCATTCACCACTATAGCAACATGATACCTGCTTCACATCACTAACATGCTATCTTAAGTGTTAAAATGACTGTCTGGAAACAGGATAACTGCTCTCATAAGTAGCCGCATCATAGTTTGTCTATTGGCTTCTTTTAATTTTTTTGTATTTTATTGATTCATATTGACATAATATTGTAAGATATATGATTTGATACAGTATTTACTGAAAAAATGTCAACAGCATTATCACTATGATAGCTTCTTTTGGATAACTGGGATAATTATTCTTAACTATCATTTAGTGTTAAAAAATATTAATAACATTGTTGTGGTCTTATAGAGACCTGTATTAAAAAGATAATAAAAAAATTCTTTATCACTTAAGACCTGGCCTCTATTAAAAGAAATATATCTGCAACTAAATAGTGTCAGTTGAATGACTTAATTTCAGTCAACTTGGACTAACCCGCAAAACCAAAAGCACAAGTTGCTTAAATGTTTTAATTGCTCAGTTCCTAAGGGTATGTTTACACCTTACCTGTAATCGAGTTCACGACAGAACGTAGAATTGTTGGTGGTTTAATCAGTTCTTTCAGAATGTTGGATTCAGTAGCCAGTGGGAATCCATTGTCTAACATTTCTTCCAGAAGCTCATATACTATGACCACATTATCCTTAATTGCAGCCTCTGAACACTCACCAAAGTAGTCCTAACAAAATGTAGATAATATTTGCACAATGGAAGGCATGAAGAAAGGCTTGCTAAAAACTTTTCTTTTGAAGGATAAACTTATAGTAGCATAATTCACTGTTGAAATCTGAAAAACAAGGTTGGGGAACCCCGCTACACTAGTATACACTATTCCTCTCTATTTTCAGATTAATTGAAATTTTATCATATAATATGCCAGAAACACGCTGAAAGATTAAACCAGAATGTGAACTACATATTTCACTTGCCTGAATAGATACCCCAAAGCACACAGATAAGTTTAAAATTAACCGGTATATTTAGCAAGGCAAGAGAAAATAATACAATGTTAATACTAGAAGATTTCACAACCACTAAAATTCTTGGGACCATACATGTGGAAGGCACTACTGTTTCCTGATGGTATCATTTGTAACGCATATAAAAATGATTCCCAGGGCCAAGAGGTTGTTCTGCTATCTTAAAATAATAATAGATGCAATAATGCATGCTACTGTACCTCTATATAAAAGGAGTTTGTGGGGCCAGTAATGTGGCTTAGTGGCAGAGCACTTGCCTTGCATGTAGAAGGCCCTAGGCTCTATTCCTCAAAACATCAAAGATATATATATATATGTGTATATATATATATATATGCATATATATATACACACACACACACACACACATATGTATATGTATATGGATGATGGTGCTTATGAACTTATTAACTTTGCAACTAAAGACATACTACACATCCAAAGTTGCATAACTAAAAACAATTATCACCATATATCGCATCTTGGTGCTGGAGCGACAGCACAGCGGTAGGGCGTTTGCCTTGCACACAGCCAACATGGCCAACCTGAGTTCGGTTCCTTCACCCCTCTCAGAGAGCCCGGCAAGCTACCGAGAGTATCTCGCCCGCACGGCAGAGCCTGGCAAGCTACCCATGGCGTATTCAATATGCCAAACACAGTAACAACAAAGTCTCCAATGGAGATGTTACTGGGCCCGCTCGAGCAAATTGATGAACAACGGGAGGACCGTGATCCCATCTTGAACTGAACATACAATTTAAGCAGATTTCTAGAAAGACCAACCTGAAAAGTGTCTGCTACCCGATGCAGGAACTCAATCACAAAGAGAGGTGGTACTTCCGTCTGTATGACAGACACAAAGAAGAGCTTATCCCGGTAGATACTGATGAGGTAGTGATGAGGAGTTGAAATGACAGGGGGCACATTTTCGACATCGGCAGCTTTCTCTTGCGCTTCAAAGAAATAATCACAGACAGACTGGCTCACAACGCTTTTCCAGTGCTTCTCCAGAAATATGTCACCGGAACAGTTTATGAGAAATAGACTGTGAATCATTTTCTGGAAAAAAAAAAGGAAGTTTAAATTTATTATATACCAAAGCTGGGGTGACAGGTGAAGTAGAAAGGCATGCCTTGCAGGTACACAGCTCCTGGGCACTGAATACTCCTCCAACCACCAGATGTAACGCCCACAACAAAAACAAAAATTTATTCTATCAAAAAACATCCTTGCATCAAGGTGATAAAGACAAGATAAACGGCTATAGACCAGTATCACTGTAAAAACAGAGATGCAAAGGGGCCAAGGAGATGGCTCAGTGGTCAAGCTTCAGATTTACCAGTCTAAGCCCTAGCACCTCCTGCCTGACACCACTCTGCCCCCCCAGCATCTCTGGCAGGTCACCAGCAGCACTGCACTGGCATGTGCAGGTACTGAATCACAATGCAGTTAGTTAAATGTCCCCAGCAGTAGCCCCTGAGCACCGAGTGAGAGTTCCCCCCAAATCAAACAATACAGATGTAAAAATTCTCAATGAAATATGAATGGAATCCAACAGTATGTAAAAAAAGACAATATACCCTGACCAAATGGGATTATTCCAAGAATATAAGTTTGGTTAATATATATACAGATCAACCAGTATATTTATAAAAGGCAAAAACACACATAGTCATTTCAAATGGTACAGAAAAAAATATTTGATAACAACTACAACCTGTTTTTGCTAAAATCACTTAAGTCAAGGATGTGGCAGAGCACATGCCTTGTATGTGTGAGACCCTGGTGGGATTCTGGGCACCACAAACCAACCAGAAGCACTTGGGGCTGGAGAGAGAGCACAGGAGGTGAGGCACCTCTGCATTAGGCTGATCCTGACTGAGCACTGCCTGATATGGCCTAAACACAGAACAAGAACCAAAAACAAACCACGGCCAGGGAGACAGCTCAAAGTGTTGCATTCAGGAGCCCTGGACTCGATCCCTGACACCTCATCATCCCTCAAGCACTGTTAGGAGGTTCTTCTCACACTCTCCCAAGCCCCACACACAAACACTGAAGCTAGGAATAGAAACCTCAAATTGGTAAGCAATATCCTTTATAGGGGCCGAGCCACAGTAGAGCGGGAGGGCGCCTGTCCGGCACGTGGTTGACCCAGGATCAATTCTCGGAACCCCATATGGTCCCTTAAATTATTCCTGAGCACAGAGCCAGGAGGAAGCCCTGAGCACCGCCAGGTGTAGTCCCAAACAAAAAACAAGAAAAAGAGAAATCTCATAGTTAATATCATACTTAATGGTGAAAACCAAAAGCTTTCCTGTCAATCAGAGAACAAATTATGATGTTCACTCTCACAACTTATATTAAAATGCAGGTTTTTTTTTCTTTTTGGGTCACATTAAAAATGCACAGGGGTTACTCCCGGTGGTGCTCAGAGGACCATATGGGATGCTGGGAATCAAACCCAGGTTCGCCGTGTGTGAAGCTAACACCCTATCTGCTGTGTTATCGCTCTAGACCCTGAACTGTATGTTTAATATGGCTCTTGCTAGGGCAATTAGGCAAAAAGTAAAATAAAACCTTCCAAAAAAAAGAAATCAAAGCACCTCTATTTCCTGATGATACAATCATATATAGAAAATCTCAAGAATATACAGAGAGACACAGACAGACACATACACAAAGACATACACAGCCAGATACTGTAGCACTATTCTCCCGTTGTTCATAGAGTTGCTGGAGGGGGCCCAGTACTGTCTCCATTGTGAGACTTGTGGTTACTGTGTTTGGCATATCAAATACCTCATGGGGAGCTTGCCAGGCTTTGCCCTGCGGGCGAGACCCTTGATAGCTTGCTGGGCTCTCCGAGAGGGGCGGAGGAATCGATTCTGGGTCAGCCGTGTAGACTGCCTTATTAGGCAAAAGCCCTACCGATGTGCTATCGCTCCAGCTCATGTTGGTGGTATAGTGGTGAGCATATTTCTACACATTAGAAATTTAATTGAGAATTAAATGTACAAGAGCACCCAATGATTGAAATTCTCAGACATGTATTGAATATTATAGAACATCACTGAAAGAAATTGAAAAGATCTAAAAATAATATGAAGAAATTCCATGTTTATGGATTGGAAAATAATATGAAGATGGCAATTCTTCCCAAATCAACTTACAGATTCAATGCAACTGCTATGAAAACGCCAGCTGTCAGTTTGTCATACTACACATGTATGTAAACTCAAGACTGGTCTTAAAAGTCACATGAAATAAAAGAGACGGAAACAATCTTAAAAGAAATTTTTTTTTCTTTTCCTGCCAGGAGGTAGCTCAGTTACAGAGCACATACATTGAATGTGTGAAGCCCTGGTTCTATCCCCAAAGAAGACCATGAAAGTATCAGAAGAGTTAGCTGCCTAAGATAACACAGTTCACAGCAGAGTTAGGATTCAGACCCAGAGTCAGCTGAATTCTGAACTTGTTTTCTTACCTTCCTCAGAGGAACGAATCATAGCCACATACTCTTAACTGTCCAATAGGATATCCCACAATAATGAATATCTTCTGTATATGCTGTCTAATACAGTAGCCTCCAGACACCTGTGGCTACCGAGCACCAGAAATACGACTCACGCAACTGATGTACTTAGGTATTCATCATAATAAATTTAAGTTAAATAGCCACATGTAGCGTGCAGGGAGAGAGCGCTCAAGTGGAAGAGCATAAACCTAGCATGTGGAATGCGCTGAATTTGCTCCTTAGCACCCCACGGCACTGAGCGCCGCTGAGTGTGGTTCTGGCGGCCACACTGCTGGGCTGGATCACTGCAGCTAGATCTGCACCTGAGCAGGGCTCCCTCAGGAGTGTCCTGGACTCCACCCTCGTCGGATATGGCTCCTACTTAAAACAAAAAAAAAATGAGGCCTGCCTGAGAGATAATTCAGTGGGCAGGTGTGTGAACTCAAAAAAGAACAGCACAGCGGCGGTGGCTCTCTCTCTCCCGCTGCTCGCGTTCGGTAGCCTCACCCTGCTTCCCCCACCCCGGGGAGGTTGATGGTGATGGGCAGGCGAAGGAAGGAAACGAGGGCCAGGCTGGTTGGTCTTAGTTGCAGCTTATTCCAATCCTCTCTCCATCCACTCCGGTCTCTCTCCTCTGCCTCCCTGCTTCTTCCTCCCCCATGCTACTTCATTCTCCTTCTCGATCTCCCTTCATCTTCTTTCTCTGGAGTCTTGATTCTGATCCTCATCTCCCAGCCCACTCTTACAGTCTAGTTAAATCCCAAAGCATGAGGGGTTGGGGTAACAATTACACATAGGTGTAGTCACAATCAATAGGGGTAGAATTCTTTCCCTGGGGGAAAGCCGCTTCTAGGACAGATACTCTCTCAGCAGGACGACCCATCCTAGAGCGGAATCCCATGGGTGCGTTTCTCCTCTCCTTTATATACATAATATAAATCATTTTGTATGGATTCAGTAAGAAATACCTTAAACTTATAGAATTGCCCTCCTAGGGCCATCTCGATCTCAGACTACAGTGCTCAGGCCAGATAGTCTTTCCTACCCCTAGCAGGATCCTAGTCTTGTCGTTACTTTTGGATCATGACAGCATTTGTCCATGATCAAACTCTTAACTTACAGTTAAGAATCAAGGCACTTTGGCCTGGCCCATTGCGATGCCAGAGTAGCTCACCGCTTGCCCTGGGTCCATTCAGTCCCTCGTTGGGACCCTGCTTTTGGGGTGTTAGGAACTAAGGGCAACTGAGGCTTAAGTCCAGAAAGCAGATGCCGGGAGTGAATAATATTCAAAGCCAATTAAATCCTAAGTTACAAAGCATAATGTTAATGGTCTTCCTGTATCTATACAAAAAGGGCATTGCTTTAAAGTAAACTGTTCATAAGGCATAAGGAGAGGAGAAAGGCAATATTTCACTCATACATATAAAATCATAGATTTCTGAGGAATCTGACCTTACAAATTAACAGAGTCTGATTACGGGGAAGGCTGATTAACTGACTGGGGAGGAGAGCATAGGGAAGAATTTACAGATAAACACAATGGAATGGAAGTGCCTCAGGAGCACTGTAATGTGTGTAACAAGATAAACCTAAGCTCCGTGTGGAGAAAGGGAAAAAGGACAAAGTAATGTCATCCTACAGGCAGGGTGCTTGCTTTGTGTGCAGGCAACCTGGGTTCGATTCCTGACACCCCATATGGTCTTCTGAGCTCGGGCCCCGACTGCAGAGCCAGGAGAAATCCCTGAACCCTGCTAAGTGTGTGACCTTCAAACAAACAAAATTAAAATGTAGCCAGTAGTTACCATATTGGACTGGGCAATAAATGGGCTGTTTGAACTTAAAATTTAAGATTTGAGGGCTGGCAGGTAGGTCACTAGCCTTCCACAGAACTGATCTGGGTTTGATCCCTAGCACCCCATATAGTCCCCTGAGGCTGCCAGAAGTAATTTCTGTACTCTGAGCCAGGAGAAAATCCTGAGCACTGCTGACTGTGGCCCAAAAATAAAAAGGAAAGAAAAAAGAAGAGTTAAGAGCTGAAGGATATACTTCTTGTTTAGTAAGAAGCCAAAATGTAGGGTCCCAGAAGACAGTTCAAAGAACTGAAGTGGGTGTCTTGCATGATTGAATTGCTGGCACCAGCATTGCATGTCCCCACCTCCCACCCCAAAGCACCATCAGGGTGGCCCTGGTGGGTGCTGGCACCACTGGACCCAAGAAGCATGGCCTCAGCAGGCCTGAGCACTGAACCATCAGGCCCATACTACTGGAAAGTGCCCATCCTCGGTGCCCCCTACAAAAGCCAAAATCTGCTTCAATAAAATTTTTTTAGAGCAGAAATTATATTTAACAGAGCTGACCAGATTCCCACTCATCTTCTTTAAGCTGGTGAAACATTCCTTCCAGGAAGTTTCCACCGAAGTTGTTTGTGCTGGCAGTGGTTCAAGTCTTAGAAGAATACAGTAAATTAAGCCAGCCATCTGGATTTACTGTTGTTATCCTTACTGTTGAGATGAAAGCCTAACACTTAGAGTTCTCAATTGTGCTTAAGCTTTAAAACCCACCTTAACCTTCTATTAAAAAAAGCTTATTTCTTTTATCCACATTACGACTAAAGGCCCAATGCACATAACAACTAACAAAATCCACATGTGGCAGTGCAAAGGTGCAGGAACTTCTTTCATTATGTTAATAAAATTTCTGGAAAAGTCATCTCATTCCCAGCCACCTCTCCATCTTTTTATGATTAGTGACTTCGAAATTAGAAAGCAGATTTCATGTAGTTTATTATAAAAGCATTTCCAAAACTGTTCCAAGACAGTGGTAGTGCCGCAGAAGGTTGCTTACTTTGCTCGAGGCTGATCTGAGTTTGATCCCTGGCGACCCCATATGGACCCTCAATCAATGCAGGAGTGATTCCTGAGTACAAAGCAGGAAGTAAGCCCTGAGAACAGCCAAATGTGGCCCACTCCCCGAAAAAGGTAGTTTCAATGGTAGTTCAATGGACTCTTAGAAACAATACTGAATATAGTAGACTGAGAAATTAAATACCAAAGAAATGGAAACAGTGAGCAGTAGAGGGTGGTATAGCTTTCAAGAGAATGAACACCAAAAAGTGAACTGGAATAGTTCATAAAGTTAAGGAAGAACATTGAAGATTTTATTTATTTATTTTTGGGACACACCTGGTAGTGCTCAGGGGACCATATGGGTTTCTGGGACTCAAACCTCAGTTAGCTGTGTACAAGACAAATGCCTAGTCCACAGTCCTCTCTCTCCAGTCCCCAAGAAGAATTATTTTTTGGCCAACAGTGCTCAGGGCTTACTCCTGGTGGGCTCAGGGGACCATATGGGATGTCAGGAATTGAACCCGGTTCGCCACATGAAAGGAAAGCACCCTACCCACTGTGCCATCACTCTGGTAGTGGAAGAATATTTTTAAATGCTGAAGGAAAGGTGTTGAGTACAGAGAGGCTGATGATGTAGAAGAGGAAACACAGAGAAAAAGCATCACCGGCCCTAAGCAGAGCAGACGGTGCTTTTCTTCATTCCAAAAAAGGAAACTTGGATTATTTGGTTACAAAAGACAATGACTTCTGGACCAGAGACATAGTACTGCAGGTAAGGCACTTGCCTTCACACAGCTGACCCTGGCCAAAGATACATCATATGATCCCCAAGTCCAGAGCACTGCAGGGCGTGGTTCCAAAACAAACAACAACAACAAAAAGATGATGACATTTATTTTCTGTGTAATGCTGAGGCAGTGGAAATTTCTCTTTTCTACAATCATTTGCGATTCCTGAATTGAGATATCGAGCTGTTTGGTGTGCAAAGAATTTCAATAGTTAAGTTAAATGTTTAGAAATAATGCAAAACTTGGGGTCTGGAGCAATAGCACAGCGGGTAGGGTGTTTGCCTTGCACGCGGCCAACCCGGGTTCGATTCCCAGCATCCCATATGGTCCCCTGAGCACCGCCAGGGGTGATTCCTGAGTGCAGAACCAGGAGTAACCCCTGTGCATCGCCGGGTGTGACCCAAAAAGAAAAAAAAAAAGAAATAATGCAAAACTTTTAGGATCCAGTAAGAAAAGAGCTCACAGCACAGAGAGCCTTCCTATGTGTTAAGTTTCAGGCAATTCTTTATTCACCTCAATTTCTCTTTTTCTAAGGTTGCAACTGAATGTGTCCCGTTATTCCAATATTAATCCTGCCTCTTGAAATCTTTATCCAATCCCTTTCCTTGCTTTCCAGATTTTTGGGGTGAGCCATACCTTGCCATGGTGGGCAAGAAAGTGGCATGCAGTGCTAAGACTGGTTCCGGAGCCCCCACAGGGCATGTGCTGCATCACGTAAGTCACATCCTCTGCACTCATATTTTAATCTTCTACACCCCCAATGCACTTTCTCCCTCAAAACGGAATGTACTTTCTGTTCTTCCAAACAAACCCCAAGCTGCTTAAGAGGCCTTACTAGAACTTTGCTTTGGTCTCCAAATAATTAGTTTACACTTGCAGTCTCTCAGACACTGAGTGTGCTGTTTGTCTGGGGCCACACCCTGCGGTGGCCAGGGGTCACTCCTGTGTTGAGGGAGGGGCTGCGGGAGCCACAGATGGAACGCTCGCCTCCTTGCATGCATGAGTGAGCTCGAGCTCCCAGTAAGGGAATGAGAAAGCAGCTCTCAGGAGGCCCTATGACTTCTGACCCTCAAGTCCAAACCTATTTGCAGACACCTACTTCCTCCTTGCAGCCTTTCACCTCATTCAACTCCCTCTTCACCCAAGCAAACACAGTAATACTTCGACTCCAATGACGGCAAATGACGGACCACCGATTTGGTGGTCCACGTACAGGTTGCTTGAATTCAGCGTCCTTCCCAGACGTCCCCGCCCCCGTCCCTCTGCACGCTCACCCCAGCTCCATGCAACTCCCTTCGCTACAGTGAGGGGTGCGGTGTCAGCGCGGCCCTGCATTCTTAAGCAAGTCGCCCAGGAGCTCCAGGTTCCACCCAAACCCAAGCCGCCACCCGGCCCCTCACTTCCCAGGTCACTGCAGTGCCTCGGTTCCCCGCTGTCCCCCAACCCCCCGTACAAAGCTCCCCTATCCCCGTCCCGGCGCCGCCCCGCCCCCCCAACAGGAAGTCCATTAGGTCAGTTTGGGATTTTGTCCTCCAAAGCGGAAGCCTGGGACTGAGGTGCGAGGAGCTACGTGGGACACTCTGCTCCGAGCCGCAGCGCGGCGAGGGCCCCCGGAGCTCGGGCGTCTCGGGCGCGGGGAGCCCGGCTGCAGGGGCGCCGCCTCCCCGAGGCCCTGCCCGCAAGGAAGCCGCCAAGGCCGGGAGCGACGCGCGGTCTCGGCCCTCGGCGCCGGACACCCCCGGAGCCAGGCTGCAGCCTCGAGCCCCAGCCACCCCGGCCGCGTCCCCAATTTTCCAGCTGTCTCCCGCCCGCACACTCCCCGCCCCTCGCACTCACCCCGACACCTGGGCCCGTCAGTGATTCCGCGCCAGGTCCTCTCCGGACCGAAGCTGAGTCTGCGAGGAGGCCGTGAGGACCCCGCGCCCGGGCTGTCCAGCGGATCGCCTGACTGAGGGCCTCGAAGAAAGAGGCTCAGTCTGGACCATTGGAAAGATTAAATACGAGACAAGACGTTTAATGGAGACAAAGACGCCTCTGGGGGTGTAGGGTCTACGTCTTCCAGCCGACCTAGAATCTAGAAGACGAAGGGGTTTCCTAGCGTCCCACTCAGGCGCTCACCCGTGGCCTAACCCATCCTAGGGCCCCCCTACAGGGCTGTGGGCGGTGCCAGGGAAAGCTGTGTAATGAACTAGTGGGCGGGGTCACGGGGGAATGAGCCAATGGCTGTTGGAGGGGACGGGTCGCGAAGTGGGAGGAGCCGGGGGCGGGGCGCGGGGCGGGGCGGAGCGCGGCGACCAGGGGGCGGGGCAGGGAGCGAGGGGCGGGGCTCGCGCTGGCTGTCGAGTGGGGTGGGCGCGCGAAGATGGCAGCGACCGAGGAGGGGCCGAAACCCAAAAAGCTGAAGGTGGAGGCTCCGCGCGCGCTGAGGTGAGCGCCAGCAGGCGTCGGCTGGAGGGTGACGGTGCCCGCGAGCTAGCCCGGGCCCACGTGGCCTGGCGCGGCTCCGAGGGGGGCCGCGCTCGTCGCGGGCATGGGGCCGCCGCGCGGGATCGGCTGCGACCCTCGTGCCGTGCCCTCCCCGCGGGTCCGGCCGCCCTCGGCCAATCAGCGCCGGCCGGTCGGGGGCTGTGCCCACTCCGGGCTCGCTGCCGGCGCCACGTGGGAGTCCACCCTGCTGGGCGCGTGGGACCCTAGGGGACCGGAGCAGAGCGAGTCCTCGCGCCGCACCTGCTCGTCCCCGGGGGCGTCCCCGGGGGGCGGCCGGACGGCCGGGCCAGCCCGGTGCAGGGACCTGGTGCCTGGGGAGTTTCCCAGGAGCGGCTCGGAAGGACGCTTTGACCTTCCTCCCGGCCGCTAGCCGAAAGCCGGCAAGGCACGTCTGCGGGATCCAGGTGCTCAAAGCCGGCCCGGAGGCTTGGCCGCGCCGCCTAGCTCGGAAGGAGCTGGAAGGTTGGATTTCCTTTCTCCCTCTGCACGCAGGCGGAGCGCACGCGGTGATTGCCTCTCATGCCTGCCGCTCAGGTTGTTGATAACCGCGACTTTGACTGGTCAGAGTTGCTTATTGAAATCCTTTGCACCATCAGTGCAAAGTGCAGACCTACAACTCTTGATGGTTTTGAAATTCCCTTTGCAAGGGAGATTTTTTTTCCCATCTGAAAATAGACAATGTCAAACTGATTTAAAATGATTGGGACAGGGGCTGGAGCGATAGATAGCACAGCGGGTAGGGCTTGCACGCGGCTGACCTGGGTTCGATTCCCAGTATCCCATATGGTCCCTCGAGCACTGCCAGGAGTAATTCCTGAGTGCAGAGCCAGGAGTAACCTCTGTGTATCGCCGGGTGTGACTCAAAAGCAAATAAATTAATTTAAAAAATAATAAAATTATTGGGACACTCCTGGTTATACAAGACAAATCTCATTTCTTCCAGCATCGCCCTTCTGCACCTCGGAAAGAACGAGTCATTTACAATTAAACAAAAGAAAAGAGGTCACTTAGGGTCTTGGCAGCGTGTCCATGTTTTGAGAGGAGGGCAACGAATTCTTGTCTATTCCTTTAATGTTTTCCTTCTACGTTCAAAGATTAGTATGCCTTCCCTATAGCAAGGTAATAAACGTGAAAGGGATGGAACTGGAGACATGGAGCAGCAGGTAGGGCTCTTGCTTTGCACATGGCCAACCAGGTTTCATCCCTGGCATCACATATTGTCCCCTGAGCACCGCCAGGAGTTAGCCCTGAGCATCACCTAGTGTGGCCCAAAAACGATTTAAAAAAGAAAAGCAATACCAAAACCCCAAACCCAACACACTCAAAACCAGAAAATAACTCAGATGACCTGTTTTTCTTTTCCCCCTTTATTTTATTGTATTTTTTTTTACAGTTGTAGATTAGCAATTTTTTGTGCTTTGGTTTCAATTATACAATGATCAGATACCCATCCCTCCACCAGTGCCCATTTTCCACCACCATGGATAATATCCCTCCCACCCCCATCCCCCCATCCCCCCTGTCTCTGTGGCAGGGCAATCCCCTGTGTTCTCTCCCTCCTTTTGGGTGTTGTGGTCTGCAAAAGAGGCATTGAGTGGCAAACATGTTCAGTCCATAGTCTGCTTTCGACATGCATCTCCCCCCCTGGGAGGATCCTCCAAACATCCTTTATTTGGTGATCCCTTCTCTATCTGAACTGCCCTTTCCTCTAGGATACCCGCTGGCCTCTAAGTTATGGAGTAATCGTCCTGGTGCTGATCTCAGCTATTCTTGGGTATTAATCTCATACTTTGTTACTTTATATCCCCCAGATGAATGCAATCTTTCTATGTCTATCCCTCTCTTTCTGACTCATTTCGCTTAGCATGATACTTTCCATATTGTACCACTTGTATGTAAATTTCATGACTTCATCTTTTCTAACAGCTACATAGTACTCCATTGTGTAGATGTACCAAAGTTTCTTTAACCAGTCCAGATGACCTGTTTTTAAGAGCAGAGCAAAGTAGGGTTTGTAGGTAAATTAGCTCTACCTGGATTCAAGACTTGTGCTTTCCTTACCGAAACCATTATTAATTTCCTTAAAAGGCACCCCCTTTGCAGAGCTGCTGCTCCCCAAATGGGAGACTGATGCAACTTTTTCTTTCCTGTCCTATTTAACACAAGCCCTTAGATTTCCCTCGATGATCCAAATGCCTTTCTATTTTACAGATGAGGAAACTGAAGCCCAAATGAAACGTGAGGAATTGAAATAGGAACCCAAAGCATCTGGTTGCAAATGTCATGGTTGTTTGACTCAGTTGGACCTGGTTTGGAACAGTTATCCAACATATGCTTCTCTCTGTCTATGCATACTTAAAAATGATAGATAATAATGGTTAATTCTTTAGTAAATTTGTGCCAGGTACTGTTTCAGCACCTCACCTGTTTTCACTCATTCATTCTCACAACCATCTTGTGAGGTATATGTCAAAATTGTCTACATCTTACACAGTAGAAACAGGAAAGGAGAAGTTAAGAAACTGAAGTTCACCTGTCTAGTACATGATGTTGGAATTTTCATCCTGGAAGTTTGACTATCTAAGCCTGTGTTTTCTGTTGGGGGGATAGGGGCATGCCTAATAAGGTCAGGACTTACTCCTGGCTCTGTGCTCAGGAATCACTAGCTGAGGGAGTGGGGCTCGCATGACTGTATCTATGTTGTGAATTGAACCTGGGTTGGCCACGTGTAAGACTAGGCCCGACCCGCAGAACTATCTCTGGCCCTCTGTGTCTGTGCTTTACTACCATGTCCTCCATACTCATTTCAGCAAGTTATCTCAAAACCCCAGTGAATTGTAAACTCAGTTTTTGTTTCTCTTTTATTTAGCTTGCTATTGTATTACTAATTTAATGTAGCTGCAATAAAAATGCAACATAATAAATAATAATTCTTACAGATATTTTAAATGCCAGTGTCAACTTCTGTTTAAAATTTATAAAAAGTCCTTTGGCAGCTAAACTCATTTTAAGTAATTCCTAGTGTCCCTATGGACATGAAGTTAAAAGATTAGACACTTGAGTCCTGGGACAAATTGCTTGATTTTATGTGAAGACCTTTTGGGATTGGCTTTTCTGATTTTCATTTTATCAGTTCAGCTTTCTCAGTCTCTGTGTGATTATGCACTGCTTGTTAGACTGCATGCATTATGAGGACTGACTTGACTTTTAAGGGGTTAGCTGCCAGTTCTGGTTAATTTTTAAAGAGAAAGGCTTATATAACCAAAGCACAATTTAGTAGGTAGAATCAGTCAGTGGGAGCAAATGAATTTGAGATATATTTGTCAGTGTCAGGGAAAGGAATTAGGCTTTGGTGAGAATTTTAGCTAACTCTGGGAGAGAGGAAATTTTGTCTTCCCAGTGACATTTGGCAATTTCTGGAGATATTTTTGGTGGCGAGTGCTACACACATCTAGAGTTTTAATTCAAGGTCGCTGCTAAACATCCTCCAATGCACCTGAAGCCCCCTGCAACAATGAATAGGTAAAGGTAAAGGCCCTCCCGTTGATCATCGATTTGCTCGAGCGGGCCCAGTAACGTCTCCATTGGAGACTTTGTTGTTACTGTGTCTGCCATATCGAATACGTCACGGGGAGCTTGCCAGGCTCTGCCTTGCGGGCGAGATACTCTCGGTAGCTTGCCGGGCTCTCCGAGAGGGGCGGAGGAATCGAACTTGGGTCGGCCATGTTGGCTGTGTGCGAGGCAAACGCCCTACCGCTGTGCTATCGCTCCTCCCGCAACAATGAATGATGTGACCAAAATCCACAGGAGTGTTGTAATTGGAGGGGGAAAAAAAAACCTTTGAGAGAGAATATCAAAGCTTGCCTTCCTTTTTCGAATACCTATTGTTTTTCTTTTTTGTTTTTCTGAGAGTATAGCAGTTGCTGAAATTATAAAGAAATAAGCTGCTTTAACATGTCTTCACACCACATTGGGGAACAGAAAAGAACATTGATTAGTATGCCAAGCATACATGGTACCTTTATAAGTCTTATGCCATACTTCAGAGCGCTTAGAAATCATTTCCCAAACCCCACTCTCTCATTTTATTTATTATTCTTCTTTTAGTTTTTGGGCCACACCTGGTGATTCTCAGGTTTCTTTTGGCTTTGCAATCAGGAACCACTCCTGGTAGGGTTCAGGGGACCTCATGGGGTGCTGGCATTGCACCCAGATTGGTCCTGTTTAAGGCAGGCTCCTTTCCTACTGGACTATGGCTCCAGCTCCCTGCTGTCTTTTTTAGTCTTCCCAGTAACAATGAGATCGTAATGATCCTGGCATCACAGATGGGATCTTTAGGTTGAAAGAAGTCAAAAAGTATTATTATTTTTTTTTTGGGGGGGGGGTCATACCTGGCATTGCACAGGGGTTACTCTTGGTTCTGCACTCAGGAATTACTCCTCGTGGTGCTCAGGCGACCATATGGGTTGCTGGGAATCAAACCTGGGTTTGGCCACGTG